TGGGGTTGATTAGGACCCAACGGGCCGCCGACTCCCCCGCCATGTTGACCAGGTTGTTGCTGATGAACATTCGCCTTTTTATTAAGAAGATCATATAGTAATAGAGGCTGTACACTTTCTCTTAACATATTTTGTGGACAGACATTTATTTTTGTTTCGAAGAAGAAATCACATCAATTTACCCGTTGCTTGATGAAGGCGGCCATCAGCGGCGGATTGCTCTTGAGTATTTGCAGTATTTGGTTCTGCTGCTCTGGCGTGTGCGGGCTTCTGAGAGTCTGCATCAGCTGTTGCAACGCGTGCTTATGCAAAATGGGTGTAGTCTGTGGTCCGACCTGTCCGACTGGTCCGATCACGCCCTGCTGACGTGGCATTTGTGCGCTCATTCCCATTCCCGGCTGAGCTTGATGCTGTTGTTGCTGCTGCTGCTGCTGCTGCATCAGCTGTTGCGGATTTTGTTGCCGTATGCCGGGGCTTTGTTGCATCACTGCGTTCGGTTGGTACCTACTGAGGTAGCGAGGAGAAACACGTACATAAAATGGAAGACGAGTGCACATTCCTGTGTGCATCGTCGCGCATAAGTCGAGTTCTTTTTCAGTATAGGCTAGTGTTACATAAAACCGGACAACGATGTTTCTCGTTATCCAGAGAAGACGTTCAATGTAACTCAAATGATCAAAAGTAAATTCTCTTATCGAATTGATTTCATCAATTGTGCATTCCAAAGTAAAAACGACAAAAGATGCTCAGCACAAATCAAGTACACATGAAATTAAATCAAAAACCAAACTTAAGAAATTAACCAAATTTGATAAAATGTAATTCATTCTGAGGACGAGAAGATCGTCCTCAGCCAAGATTCAGCAAAGGTTCAGCAAATTGCCACATACCTCGCCGTCCACTGATCCATCGGAATGAGATGCGTGCCGCCAGGATTCGCCATCTGGACTGGCATCGGTCGCTGCATCTGTGGCGGAGGCATCACACCGCCGGCTTGTCCGCCCACACCGACACCTACTCCGACTGCACTGGTCGGTGCAACTTTGCCGTAGTTGACATGTGGTACTTGTTGCCTCGCAGCTTCCTCTTGCACTTGCTTAACCACCTGCAGCACGTGAGCGGGTGGCGTTTGTGTGCCAGGCTTCAGGCCAATGCCTGGCTGATGCGGAGATGGTAAGTTCGTAGCGCTGACACCGGGTTTCATAGCGACCCCGGTTGCCATGGCGACGTTTGAGGTCTGTTGGCCGGCCTGCATCGCGGTCATGGGTCCGGTCGGCCTCGTGTTCATCACAGCCATTCGCCTCCTGCAAACACAGAGATGAGGCGACATTTAGCACAATGTCCTACTACTGCTCCTACGGCTGCAAACTCGACACGACGACCTCTCTTTCTACCGACCTGAGTAATTGCGCCTGTTGTAACCGTTGCTGGAGCTGTTGCTGCTTAATCTTGTGTTTGATGTTGGAGCAGAACGGAACAAGACACTTAGTCTCTTGGCAGTGTTTCGCGTGGTAACAGCAGAGCGCTATCAATTGCTTGCATATCGGGCATCCACCGTTCGTCTTCCTCTTGCAATTCTTCGTGTGCATCACTACTCTCTTCATCCTCTGGCAGCTTGGCAGACGGCAATTAGCGTCTCTGCACTGGCAACCATGCACCAATGACTGAATGCACCTCTGTATCGACAGTTTCCGAGCTTCCTGTACAGTGAAAAAATGCAAAACAAAAACGACGTGTGAGCATCAGGATCCTTTGCTTTATAATGGAATAACCGTAAAGGCAATCGATAAGTCACCTGTGGGTTTGTCTGTTTGGCATCGGCCGGCGATGAACCGTCATCCAAGTCAAAACCGAGTTTCTCCATAGGATGCGGATGACCATCTTTGTCTTTACAACTAACGCATAAGTCAAAGTCCTGCAATCAAATAAGTGATTGCAGTAAATGTGTGAGTAAACTTTGAGCGGGGAGGAAAAAATAGTGTTACAAACAAGAGATACATACGTCGCAAACTGTACAATGGTATCTAGTCTCCACGTGACTCTTACAGTTGTTGCAGGTATAAACGAATTTGTCTTGACCTTGATTATGCAACTCGTACAACATCGACATGGAACTGAACTTTGCTCTCCTCAGAGATGAGAACTCGTAGTGCCTTTCCCTCGCCATAGTAAGAAAGGCGTCTCGGCCGTCCATCAAATCACAATTAATTACGGGGTCGGGATCTTGGATTGGCTGAAGATTTAAATCGCAGTTAAGTATTTATTAAGCTCGCTCCGTAAGATATGACGGAGATGAAAAACTTACTGCCAAGCTGGCTGCACTTTGGGCGCTATGCAACCTGATAACGAAAAATACTTCTTTGTGTTTCTCCATGGTCGCAAAGATCTTTGCGGAGAGATCATTGCCAGTCTGAGGAGTGTTCGATTTTTTGCTGTTCTTCCTTTGATTCGCCTTGGATTTGTTGGATTTCTTTGCCTTCTTTTGACCCTTCTTCTTACCGTCCGGAGTTTCAGAGTCCTCGGACAGTGAAAATATCTGAAAAAACGCAAGAAACATGCACATATGCAAGATATAAGGAAAGGTGCACGGGTATGCACAACGATGAAACGAATAGAAGAAGAAAAGAGAAAAGGAATGCTACAAGATAATTTATTTTCCGCAACTTACCGCGTTCGCCGCCGCAGCGGCGGCTTCCGCCGCTTCAGCTTGTTTCCGCTTTTCTTCCTCTTCCTGATCTAGTTCTTTAATACTCTCTTCCAGCACATTCGGCCAGAAGTCACCCTCGAAGTACGGCAAATCCGCTGCCGACGAAAGCCTGTCCTCCATGGCTTGTTTTAAGATGTCCTACACAACAGAAATATCTCGATGTAAATATCTCGCTCAACGTATAATAAATAATAAAAGAGCAAGTCCACGGAAAAAGTGTGTCGCCTGCAAATCCTATGTTCAGTGTCATAAGTCATAACAAGAACATTAGCTTTAGCACAGACTTTTATTTAAGTCTCATTAGACTCCGATACGATATTAAGACACATACCGGAAACACAAGAGACTAGATCCATGCGAATGCACAAAATGCACTTTCTTCTCACCTTGTAGTCGAGCACGATCCTCTCGACCATTCCCTTGTCCAACATTTTCTTATACCACTCCTGCAATCTTTTAGGCTTTGGTATTTTCTGTTCTTGGGGATGGCAGTGGAAGATATAATCGTCCCCTTCGGAAGGTGGACATGCCCAAATGTGCGCCATAGTGTATCTGGAATGATGTTTTTCGATTGCAAATTGTGTATACACAGGACACTTTGCGTTCGAAAAAATACGTCCTTAACGCAATGGTGAGGTGAGGTTATTATCACAGCAAATTATTAGATCAATGTTACAATTAGATGAGACACTGAACTCGATTGGTGCAACTTCTCGTGCAATTGCCGGTTGCTGTTGTAACATAACGTGTTATAATCACAGTAACTCACCCAAGCTGCTTCGCGTAGTCCAGATATCCGAGGAGAATCTCATGGTACACAGCTGTACGAAACTGTCTAGGCCGGAAGAAGTGTACAGAGTCCAAATACGCGATGTAAACTCGTCTAGTGTTCGGCGGCGTGCATTCGCTTCCGTATTCTTGCACGTGCATACCGAAAAAACACACATCCGTGCCGTCGACTTCCTCAAATGCGAACAGCGCCTTGGCGCGATAGGGAAACTCGCCGGGCATGTCACCGTTTTCGACAAATCTGCTACGCATGCCAGGTTTAACCTCGACCACTTTATCACTGGACGCGACCACTCTGATCGCGACCTCCCCGGCACCGGCTTCTTTCTTCTTAAGGAAGTTATTCACGCGCGTCTCGATGTAAGTGCCGAGTTTTGTAATGGGCAATCGTTTGGCGTTAAACTTATTCTCTTTGCGTTTCTGACCCTTCTTCTTTAAGCAATTATCACAGGTAAATCTGTTGGGGGAAAAGCGATTTCTTCACATAACGCAAGTTTTACTTTGGAATTTTCTTATCGTATAAATATATACACATATATATATAAATATTAACAACACCGTAAGTAAGAAACGAGTGGACTGGCTAATCGCGAAAACAAAATTTAACTTCCCGAAATCCCTACGATTGTTTAATGCACATTTAACATTTAAAGGCCGCGCTGCCACTCACCCTAATGGCCAGATTGTTTCCATATGAAGTACACATATTTGATGTACTCTCCTACCGCAGTCCGTACAGGTAACAAAAGGTTCCAATTCCAAGTGATCATTCTTCATCTCCTGGAACTGTTCTTTCTTGATGGCACTGCAAAAGAGACGCCTTTAGCGATCAAGCGAGCACAACAGCGGATTTGGCAGGTTGCGCAGAGATCAGATCACTCTCGCGGTGTACTTACGTTTGAGGTTGTGTCGGATCATCTCCCAACGTCACTGTATCACCAGGAATGTCGTTGAAACATTTCTGACAGAAGGTGTATCTGTCGGAAATAAGACCATATGCCTTTAGACTGTTATACCAATTACATTGTATACGGCGTGTCATTTCGTCACAGTGCCATGCGTGCGTTTTATATTGCGTGAGAGAGTTCGATGAACGACGGCCAATTTTATCCGTCTCACCGGACGCATCCAAGTTTCAAGCGTCAATTTCGAGAAGTTCGTTTATATGCATATATTCGATTTTTTCGCAGTTATACATGCATGCAATGGTATTGCCAATTAATCGTTCCGAATCCGATTTCGGTTTCGTTCCAAAGGGTCATGCGAAGACATCGTTCTCATTTTTCAATTAGTGTTTTGCGAATCGGACGTTTCGTAATTATCGATTTTTTTTTATTCGTTCGTTTTATAAATTTCAGGTTTCCAATTACGATCGTCCAATATCCAAGTATCGTTTTTTCGCAGTAGTAGAGTCGGAAAGAAGCAAGGGCGCAGGCAACACGAAGAGCAAGCGGCAAACAAGGATTGTGTGCGCGTGCGCAACCCATGGTCAGAGCGAAGATAACATACAAAGAAGAGAGAACAGTGCCATCGTTAGACGCACATCAATTTGTGTGTGTGTATATATATATATATATATATATATATATATATATATATATAATATGTGTGTATATATATCTTATTTTTTAAATTCTAATGTAACGCACATGCACCAAAGAGTTATGTATAAATTAAATTTGTCCAGATATCGTTGGAAAATATTTATATTCGCAAACTTCATGATCCCCGGTGACTCCTTCAGATCGTAGTCGTGTTCTCACGATGCAATACATATCTCTTCAGTATATGCGCGAGTAACAGTAGAGATACAGAAGTTCTAAATGTGCGAGAACGTGCGTGTGCGTATACGAGAAATCTTTATAAATTACGAAAAAGATGTAGGTCAGGGGACTGACCTGCTTTTGCAAGTATCGCTAAAAGCAGGTTAATTAACCTGCCAATTTGATTTTGCGTATTCGACGAGAGGACACTTCCAAATTAGAAGCGTCCCGTGCAAAATGAACACGCCATGGTCAATTTAACGGGCATGTAGAATTCAATTATTTGAAATCTCGATCGTTACTATCGCTACATTTCGAGATGCACCACCGGTGTGTCTTTTACTATATGCGTTACTGGTACTTACTACATTTACACGTATTCGACAAATTTGCCGAATTAAATGTAAAACTCTAGACATTCTTCGTATATAATCGAGTGCATCAACACCGCCTGTACGCTCGCGTTTGGTAATCAAAACCTATTTATGATTGTAGAAAATATAAATGTAATTTGGAAATATTAAAAAAAAAAAAAATTAAGGAATTTCACCTGCTTCATTAGAAACAATTAAGAAATGTATAAATAACAATTATACAAACTCCCTGCTTGTATATAGTTCGGAGTCCGACTTTCTTCTATTCGTTTTTTTGTAAAAAACAGAGATGTCCAGTCTCTGCAATCGCGGACGCATGGGACAGCGTTAACGCACCCAATATCGTATCGCGATAGAAACAATTCTTATAGATAGAAATGTACTGACCTGTTCTGGTACGAATAATACTTGGCATCCCTGGGTATCGTGCACAACTGCTTGCCGTAACAGCAGAGCACCTGCGGGTTGAACGTGTATTTCCGACCGCAGCAGTATCCGAGGGCCTGCATGACAGGATCTATCTCCTGCTCGAACACCTCCGAGAGCTGTGTCCAAACGAGAACATATGAATTATATATACGCATGTGTCTACGTGTCAATTATAAAGAGACACCAATATGCGTGATAAGCCTCACTCAAGAAACAATAATCGCAATGATGCCTTACCTTGGTGCAGTATCTGTAGACGCGAGATGTCTTGCGGTTGTAGAGCCAAGCATTGTCGAACATCATCCAGACGTCATCCACGTACTCCCACGGATCGCTGTACTTCTCAGTGTCCAATTTCTTCTTGATGGTCGACAGATCCATGGGCTTCTTCACGATAGTGGGATAGTCCGGTATACCCAGGGCTTGAGGATCTACTGGCTGCCGGAACGGTATGGATTCCGGATCTTGCCGATACAGCTTCTCGAGGGTCGGCATCAACGCCTGACGTAGCTCGTCAGGTTTGAACAAGCACTTCTTCTTGTCGGTCGACGTGCCGCTAGGCTGTATCGGCTCCGGCACCATTGGCTTGATGTCGGTGGTACTCGTGTCCTGACCGGACATGGGAGTCATGCTCTCCTCCTTTATGCTGGCAGGCTCTTCTTTCACCGTCGTTTCATTCGAGTCTTCCTCCATCGGCTCGGTTTTCGGCTCGGTCTTGATAGTGATCTCATTATTTACGCTCTTACCGCAATCCATTCGATGGTTCTCGGCACTGTCCTCTTGTTTGATTTCCATTTTAATATCTTTCTCTTCCTTAATGGTGTCCAGCTTGCCTTTGTTGTTGTTCATCGGTGGACTAGGCGAATTATTGTCCATCACGGCCGCCGTGATGGCAGCCATCTGCGAAGACATGGACGTGCTTCTCGGTGCGTTCAACGCTGCTCTCTCCTGCGAGGTCATACCTTTGCCCAGACTTGCGAGACCCGCTGGCGACGGTGTCGTACCTGGATGCGGCGGCGTTTGGTTAGCGGAGGGGACCGTCTGATTCGGAGTCATGAGTGATGAGACTAACGGAGTGTTCGGCGTGGAAGTGGTGGACTGAGGTCCGTTGGTGGTGGTCGTCGCGGACCCCGGACTCGGCCCGCTAGAGGCAGGAGGAGGTATCGTCTGCGGCGTCGACGTGGCGATAGCATTGTCGCTGGGCGTAGCTGATAATGGCCGGTTGTTGGCGAACTGCTGACTCTGCGGTTGCTGCGACGTGCTCTGTTGTTGTGGCTGCTGCTGTTGCATACTACTGAAGGGCGACGGTGTTTGCGGTATCGACGTCGCTGGCGTGTTCTGACTCGAAGTACTTGTTGGCTGCTGCTGCTGCTGCTGTTGCTGTTGCTGCTGAGCCGCTTGCTGTTGCTGTTGAGCCGCTTGCTGTTGCTGCTGCTGCTGCTGTTGTTGTTGCTGCTGCTGTTGCGCGGCCTGAGCTTGAGCCTGAGCCAATCTAACTTTCATGAGGTCGGGAAACTGATGCTGATTCTGAATGGGAGAACTATTGGGTAGACCGGAAGTGCCATTAGACGTTGGAAATTGACTAGTTGTCGCGGACGCGGCGGTGGTGGTTGTTAAGTTAGTCTGTGACATCTGAGGCTGTCCAAAGGGACTGAGCCCGGGATTGGGCACCATATTCGCGTTGGACGTCGATTGTCCGTTTGGACTAGGACCCGGGGGACCAACCAAGATTCCTTGCTGCTGTGGTTGTTGCTGTTGCTGCTGTATCTGTTGTTGAGCTTGGACTTGTTGGGGCTGCTGGGGCTGCTGCGGTTGCTGTTGCGCCTGTTGCTGCTGAGGGAATTGCATCCGATTGTGTTGGATCGCCATCCCGGGTAACGCTGCCAATTGACTCATGCCTGGTGAGTGACTTCGTACAGTAGGTGGTACCGTACCGACTGGTTTCGCAGGTAGAACGGCTCCCACATTAGGAGGAGCGCATGGCCTCAAGCCGGGACCGGATGTACCCGCCGGTTGCGGTTGCTGCTGCTGCTGTTGTGCTTGCAATTGCTGCTGCTGTTCCTTTCGCTTCTGTCGCTTCTCCTCTGTTTTATGCAGAGAAACGTGTTACATTTACGGGAATGGAACATGGAAATTGTATTTTTACTACTTTACCAGTAAAGTGAGTGACTCAGGTCTCAATCAAGTCAAGTTTTTCATCACTTACCAAGTTCCTTTTGTATTTTATAAATCTTCTCAGCTAACAGATGATAGTACTCTGATCTCGAGTTGGCCATTTCATACATATCACCTTCGACCTTCCTCGCGTACGCGACCAAGTTGTGCATTCGTTTGTCAAGCATAGCTTGCGGATCGGGAGTTGGGAATATTGCTTGAACCCTGAAGAAAGTAGGAGCAGAGAGAATATATAAGTTGAAGTTCTTGATATACTGGCATGCACGATCACATACGTATATATAGAGCGTATCTATTTTACTAACAGTTTATGTACGAGATGATTCCTGAGGTCCGGAGTTACTGACTGATGCCACTCTTTCGTTCCTTGCACCGGTGTCGCCGTTACTTGACCCGGCTGTAGACCACCCGGCAGTTGTAGATTAGCCAATCTGCTTTCCCCTATCACACCAGGCTGCCCAGCCTCGTTCAAGCCTGCAAATAGCTGTTGCATATTGACCGACTGTTGTATGTTAGCGGCAGCGGCCGCAGCAGCGGACGTGGGTCCAGTCGTCGGCGCCGTTTGATTACCAGCAACCCCGACTGTACTAGGATCAGAATTTAAAGGAAGAGATACGTTTGGAGCAACTACTTGTTGTCCAGTACCAACTACGGACTGTCCCGGTGCAGCTGAAACACAAATATCCATCCCCATCGATATATTTATAATAAATCACAATTGACTCGAACGAAACACAAGCACAGCAATCTGATAGACTCTGCGAAGACGAAACATCATGAGACTCACTTTGCGTTTGAGGTTGCGTCAATCTAACATTACTCAATGTCCCCGGTGGTCCTGCCATGCCAGGCGTTGGCATCCTAACACCTCTGCCAACGCCTTGACCAGGCAGCAGTCCCGGTGTTGTTGTTGGACATTGAATCCCTAGAGCGTCGTAAGCTCTTCTCATCTCCGACGGGCTCGGATTTGGTTGACTGTTTTGTTGAGCTGCGGGAGCTGTGAGGCACAATTAAACGAGTATTTAGTGTATGGATGTGTCGATTCACTGAGAATTGTTATTCCTCTCGTGCAAAGGACATTTATTATGGATTACCTGCGGTGGAATTAGTCCTGTTTTTATTCGCCTGCTTAATCGGCAAACAGACCGGGCAATCGGTCCGTGCGCAATGTCTCCAATGACTTATGATCTGTCTGGACATGCTACAGTGTGGTACTGTGCAACTTTTGCCGGAATTGCAACTCGTCATGTGGTTCAGGACGTTTTTCATCGTTTTGCAGTCTGGCAAGGTGCACTGCCTTATTTCGCCGTTTGCTTGACTTTCGCGTCGCTGACACTTGTGTGCGTGCAGAAGGAGAACCAATTGCTGCTGGATGAGTCTACATTTCTCTGGGTCGGGCGTTGATTTCGCAGCGCCTACGAGATTTATGAAATCCTTTGTAGAGAGAGAGAGAGAGAGAGAGAGAGAGAGAGAGAGAACAGAAAATCTATTTATTATAAAAGCAGCAGGCGACAGTATCACGGACTGACCAACTGTAGCAGCACCAGTGGCAGTCATTTGTCCCTGAGTAGCTTGTTGAGGACCCGGTTGACCACCACTCGGCGCTCCCGACTGAGGCTGAGCTGGACTCGGCGCGGGCGGCTGTGCCTGTGGTGTCATAGTACTTTCCTGGCTGCCACCAACGATATTGGTGGTACCGATGGGACCGGCAGTCCCGGTAAATCTACCGGCGGCCTGCATGGCAGTCATGTTCGTGCCCACACCCTTCTGCTGCGGTTTGACAACACCTACGGGATTATTGGCGCATACAGTTACTCCTGGCCCTGGTCCGTTATTTGGCGAACCTGTATTGTGAATTTTATTTTCATCGTCTTAAGCACTATCTAGTCGTCACCGGAGGATATGTATTTCGATACGTACCGTAACCGTAGGGACTGGATGCTCCTATTTGACCCATGTTGGGCATGTTTGTTATGTTAGGTGGAGCTTGCATCCTGGGACCACCTTGACCGGGGCCGACTATACCAACTTGATGTACCTGTTGGTGAGGACTCTGACCTCTCGTCGGGCCGACCATGTGAGCCGCCGCAGCCGCCTGCTGTTGCTGTTGCATCGCCACAGCCCTTGTGTTCAGCATCCCGGGACCGTTCTGCATCTGTGTGACCCCGTGAGGTCCGCTAGGATGATGTATCGCTTGAGTATTGGGTCCCATCATGGTTACCTTGAAAATATCAGCCAGTTAGACCTAACATGGTTAGACCTTCACCGACGCGTAGTTGCTACCAATGTTACGCGCATCACAAGTTGACGTACTGTATTCTGAGGTTGTTTGTTCAAACTGTTGGTTACTATCAAGCCTCCCCCGGCCATTCCTCCCATATTGTTGTTGCCACTCGCTGTGCTAGTCATCACTAAGCCAGAATTCATGCCTCCCGGCATGGACATCGCGGGGTTACTACCGGCCATGCTCATGGACGACTGCAGACCACCCATCGAATTCGCGATAGACATTTGATTGTTAGCCAATGAACTGGCTATGCTGCTCGGTAAGTTCCCAAGACTGACGACCATCTGCGGGTCGACTACGCCTTTGGAAACAGAAACGTTCGGCGGCGATTGCATGTTTGGACTTTTGCTGCCCAACGGTCCAGCAGTCATTACTAACGAGTTCGCAACCAGATTTTTGTTGCCCTGTTCAACAGTCGTGTGTTAGTTAATGTATTTATACAATTGGACGCCCGGACTGGCTGGTCGAAGCGAAGGAAGAAAACCTACTTGTTGCTGGATAATATGATGAGAAAGTTGCTGCTGTTGCTGTTGCTGTACATGTTGCCTAAGTTCTGAGTCGAGAGCACCGTTCTGCTGCCCCGGACCCGGGCCAGTCGCCGGTGGCTTAGTACTTTCGGTCGCAGAGCCCCAAGATCCCGACGACAGCAGGTCATCAGGAAGATCATTTTCAATATCATACATATCTGTGTTTGTTATGTAATCTGAGGATAAATAGAGCAAAAGTAAAAAAGTTACGCCTCCACACTTGTGTGCGTATCACGATAATAAATATTTTCTTTGGCTATCAGAAAAGCGTACATCCTGGAGTGTATTTATGCGAATGGAATCTATATAAGGCGCGTAACGCGCACTATACATTCATGTTTTTCTCCGTCTTCTATTCAATCTCTTTTCAATCGCTAGTCATGGAAATGTCATTACTTGCACTTTTTATGCACTGCTCGGATTAAATTCGTCATAGATACTCGGGATATATCACTTTTGGAGACAGCCGGTCGATAGATTTAAAGAATATGGCATTAGATATATGTATACCATAGATACCAAGAAATAATTAGTAATTTTATAGGGTTAAGACTCAGCACCGTCACCATTATAGCCATTTTATTTAGAGTATCAAATATTTTAATACAAATGTTTGCTATTATATGTGCGTGAAGTATATCGTATCCCTATACACATGTATATGTACATGTATATGTATATATATATATATATATATTTATATTATATGTATGTATATGTATATATACACATAACTGCATGTGAACATGTACACATGCGTATATACATGCATGTATATAGAGACACACATATAGGCAGAAAAGCGATTATGATTATTCATCTATATTACAAGGAACTTCTAAGACAGCAATATATCCTTTTCAAAATGTAGTCAACATAGAATTAAAAAGTGACTCTTATTCGTCTATCTATTCACGACTGACCATACATTGAGACGGAGAAAAAAAGGGTGTACATAGGTATGTATGTATGTATATATGTATGTATATATATATATATATAAATATATGTAGGAAAATACATACGCGAAGAGATTCTAGAAAAAAAGGAAAAAATTAAAAACTACACGTGGATATAAACAAACATGAAAAATAAGACATGAGACATACACTGCATGAGCATAACGTAAAGGAGCTTATTCTACAGCGGAATGAAAATTTTCGGCACATTAAATTCGTGCTAAACTACACAAGCAGCGAAGCCACTGACGGCAAACTTTCATAGAAGAGAGTCATGCGAAGAAATAAGTCACTCTAGAAAATATCCGTTCAAGCAAATAATGCTTCTGACGCACAGTTCGAGAAAACCAAGTATCTCGGTTTCGTGTACTTCATCCTAAAATAAAGAAAAATAAAATTTCCGACATTCTCTCTTGCATATATGCAAAAGACACTATGCGCGCACAGTTCTTGTATTCTATTTACGTTCGGTTATAAATAACTGTGAAAAATTTTCATTGATACAAACACATCGAGCCCTACCTAACACGGCTATTTATTACCTGCGCCGCATCGTCAACTTTTCTCTTTTCTTTTTTTCTTTTTTTCTTTTTTTTTTTTTACACGACCAGTACAGCGTAATGCATTTTTAATTTCACCTTTACATACGCCTGCAAGCCGAGCTCTGCGCGTGTGTGTCGCATGTCTATGTTATGTCTGATTTATGTGAATGTCTCACAGTGTCTTATTAGAAAAAGAGGGGAACCGCTATTTCATCTGAGTCTTATGTACCTTCTCAGCAATACCGATCCAATTTTTCTCCATTGCTATGTAAAGCAAATCAGTCCGTGTCACAAAGTAAGATAATATAATGTATCCATATTTGCTGCTCTATGTTGTGCCGTACTTTCAAAGATAAATTATCGTGACCAATCCAATCTCTCTTTCTCTCTTTTTCTTTCTTCCCTAAACGTCAACGACAGACTAAAGTTACCGGAACCATAGTGACAATATAGTTAAAAAACTATAGGCATCTCTTTCTTTCTTTCTTTCTTTCTCTCTCTCTCTCTCTCTCTTTCTCTCAGAAAGTACTGCAACTGGAAAACGTATTGATTTGTTTCACTGAAAGCCATAGGCTGGAACAAGTGAGTTTACGAAAGAAGAGATGTATGGTACTATGAGATGATCGGACGGACAAACGGATTTTACAGTGCTGGACTTAATGTTCTTGACAATTTTGAATGCTTAATTTTGAATAGTGATATTTACTTCCTTTCCGGACGGTAATGTTGTTCCAATGTTGCTGCATCTGATGCTGTTGCAGATGTAGCTGCTGCGGTTGGCCATGTATTTGTTGAATGTTACCACTTCCACCTCCCCCGTAGTTCGTATAAGCATGGTGCATCATTAAAGGCGCCATACCCACTACGTATATCATAATTGTATTTTTTTATTTCAGAATGTAAGAAAACGGACTAGGCTGTTCTTTGTTTCTTATTTATTTATTTTTTTTTTTCTTTGATCTGTGGCGTCCAAGTGGCAGAAAGTTCAAGTTGCAGTTTCCAATAACTGTCAGTGAGTAATTTCTACTTCTTATAGATAACTTTGTTCTCATGTGGTTATGTGACAATCGAAAGGGGGAACGAACAAGAAAATCGGAAACAGATCATCATCGTGTAACAACTTATAACTTCTGCAACTTGGCAATAAGCGATTTTGAAAGTTTACGTATTATTATCCGAGTCAAAAAACGCAATTATTGTCGATATAATGTAGCGTTATTACATGTGCATTATCCTCAAGTTTTGGAAACTTGTTAAGAGATGATTAAGATGTGTGTTGGAAGGAAAAATAGTAAAGAGATCAAAATTAGCGCGTTGTTCATGCCAGCAAAATGTAATCTCTGATATTAAAAGTGTCATGCATCCATCATGCACTACAGGACCACAGCTCTATATCTAGATCTAAGTATATGTCTGGAAGAATATACAATAAAATGTGTGTGTGTGTGTACTTGTACGTGTGTGTGTATATATATATATATATGTATATATCGATTTATCATATATCGATTCGAGCCAGAAGAAATTGATAATCGTGCTGTAAGACAAGAGGGTGGCAGTCATGTAATGACTCTCGACGGCGGCGACATTTACACTTGCATCATCCCGCAGATGATGCTCCGAGCAAAATTCGACTACACTTTATCGTTGTGTGCTGTCGCACGAGAGCCGTTTTCGTGATAAAAATGCAGGTAACAACGTGAGACCAGCCGAACGTCTTACGCACCACACACACACACACACACACACACACACACACACACACACTGGCGAATCCATTCACGAAAGTCATCTACACTCTTTTTCTCGACCGGACCGTTAACAACCGAGCGTCTCACTCGCCGCGCGTTTCCACGGGAGGAGAACACGCGAGAGAATACTCCCCGAATGATCTCGACGATGCGACTCCGAATCATCTCGCCGAGCTCGCAGGACGCGCGCGCGGCGAAGGAAAACGACACGCCGAACGCGTTCATGCGTGCAGCAGCAGCAGCAGCAGCAACGCGAGCCGCCGCGTCGTGCGTGATTGTCGCGTGTCGTATCGTAATTTTGCTCGGAGGTTGCGACGCGCGCCCCCGAGACGCGTTAAACGAGAGATCGGCGGGCTTGGATGGCTGAGTGGCGGCTGGCTGGCTGGCTGGCTGGCTGGCTGGCTGACTGACTGGCTAACAGCAGCGATTCGTGGCGCGATGGCGCGCGGCGTTTGCGGTGGCGCACAGCCGTGTACCGCCACAACACCGGCCACGATCAGACGGCAAAAGGCGGCCCCCTCGCCGCCGCCGTCATCGCCGCCGCCGCCGCCGCCGCAGTTTCGTCGAGAGGAATAAAAACAAAGAGGAATAAAACGGCGGACAAGACGCGAACGATGCTCCATGCGAGAGGCGCGTCGTCGGACGTATACGTGCGCGCCTCCCGCGACGTACAATTCTCTCTCTCTCTCTCTCTCTCTCTCTCTCTCTCGCTCTCTCGCTCTCTCTCTCTCTCTCGCTCGCTCTCTCTCTCGCTCTTTCTCTCTTTCTGTAAGGTTAGTCGCGGCACTGAGGAGTACGTGAGGAACGTGGAGAACGTAGGGTACGAGAGACGGGGGACGATAATAATAATAATAATAATAATAATAATAATAATAATAATAATAATAATAATAATAAGAGAAGAAAAAAAACAGAAATAAAAATGACGGAAAACAAGAAAGACAACTAGAGAGGCTTTGAGACGCGACTCACCTGACGAGTCCGAGGGTCCCTGGAAGGGATCCCCGAGCTTCGGCCGTTTGTTCGGCGGGCCGTCGACCAGGTGGTCGGCCATGGCTGCTCCTCGATGGCGGCTGTTATCTTTCCTCCGTATAACCTCTCACGAATCTCCGTTGCCGATCACGAGCAGCGGAGCGGTGGCAGCGTATCGCCGATCGTGGCCAACGTGCGCGCGTTGTTACGCGTTCGTACGTCGTAGTAGCGGCACCGCACAACAGCGGGGAACTCGTCGGCCGCGCGCCTCTTCTCCTTCGCTTGCTCGCACACACACGCCCGTTCGCTCACTCGCGCTCTCGAACTCTTTATCACCGCAGCGCGCCACTAGAACGCCGCTTCCGCCGTCACCGTCGTCGGCAGCTCCGCTGCTGCTGCCGCTGTCGCCGTTGCTGCTGCTGCTGCTGGTGCTGGTGCTGGTGGCGGTGGTGGTGGTGGTGGTGGTGGTGGTGCGGCCGCTGCTGCCGCCTCTAGCCTATCGACGGCGAGGCCTCGTAACAAGTTCACCGTGCCGCAATCGTACTCGCGAGCATGACAATAACAATGACAACCGCGGCGCGTGGAGCGTCCCCGTGGAGCACAGTTTGATGCACGGTCAACCATTGGGCATCGTCGTCATCGAGGTACGTCGAATCCCAGGGCGCGAAAGCCCGCCACACAGGCACCACGCACGGACACACGCGCGACGAGCACACACACACACACCCACACGTACACACCACGGCGAGTGATCTCTACTCCTTTAGCAGCAGTCCATCCAATGAACACGACAACAGCACGACCGCCGCGGCGTGTCGCGTAGCGTAGCGTAGCGTCGTCGGGCACCCGGATCACCAGAGCGCCGCGCGACGACGGCGACAAAGACTACAGGAACGACGACGATAACGACAACAACGACGTCGACGGTGGCGAAGACGTCGTCGTCTCGACCGCGGCGGCGTATCGCACAAGGTATCACACTATTACTAGTAGTACTACTACAACGACTACGGCTACAACGACGACGACGACGACGACGACGACGACGACGACGACGACGACTCGGCGGTATCCCCCGCTGTCGCGAGACGGTGAGAGCGCGCGACGACGCTCCGACCAACTCTCGGCTCGACTCGAGACCACTCGACTGGATTCGATTCGACTCGCGCTCTCCCGCTCGCTCTCTCTCTCTCTCTATCCTTCTCGCGTGCGCGCTCTCTCTCTCTCTCTCTCTCTGTCTCTTTCTTTCTCTCTCTCTCTCTCTCTCTCGCTCTCGCTCTCTCGTGCTCTCCTCTCTCGCAAGAGAACGAGACACACACGCGTTTATAAACTCGTTCGGCGGTAAACGCACTCTCGTCCCGCAACACGACTCGCCAAACGCTCGACACCGCGGCGTACTGGCTGCGCGCACGGCGCTAGCTCGCAGCGACGATATCACAGCCGAGGGCCGCTGGCACCATCTTCTCTACCTCTCCTCTTCTCTCTCGGCTCGGCTCACACTGCGACACACGGGGCGCGCGAACGACCAGCGCGGCCGCGGGCCGCTTTCCCCGCACGCTCGCACGTAATTTACGGGCGCGAGCACGCGAACACGATCGCACGTATCGGCACAGGTGCGGCCACCGCGCCCGCCACAGAAATTCGCACGGGAAAAGCGATCGCGAAGTGTCCCGCACCGCACAAGTATCGGCTAACGTAAAATGGCGGCCGCTGTTGACGAGAACTTTTTCTACGCTTGTCAGAAAATGCCCGACTGACTCGGAGACGGTGGCTAACCGTAGATCGCGCCGCCTATTGGCCGGCCCGGTCACGTGACCGCCGCGCGCCCCGCGATTGGCTCGGTTACTGTCAAGACGTCAGCGCCACGGCTGCATTCACGTCCCTAAGACGCGAACGTCCTGGCTACACTCACGCCGCCGGTCGGGTGTCTCTTGAGATGAGAACGGCCTGGCGCCGTAGCGTCGTTCGAACATGGTCGATCGGCGACTCGACTCGACTCGACTCTACTCTCTTTCCAGCGGCGCTCCGTCCGAGGCTCACTGCGAGATTGCTGTCGCCTCTCGGTAGAGGTGGCTCGACATATGGCTCGAGGGGTCTGTGTCTCGCTTGCGTTTAGGTCCGCAGGTCTCAGTGACTGAACTACGGGAGTATCGGGATTCGTCGAGTCGCGATTAGCCGCTAATCGTCGGCTAAGAGCCAGGACCACCACGTGCGGTGTATTTAACGAGTCGCATGCGACAGCAAGGGACTGCTTCTCGAGAGGGAAGAGTAGTACTCTGTACTCGACTCGGGTTTGTTGCATCTTCGCGCGGTTCGAAGCGCACGCTTCTCACGGATCGAAACGATCCGATGTTTCCATCACGCGCGTCCATTACGTGCGCCCATGGCCGGTCTTGGACGTGTATTTTTCTCTATCTATCTATCTATCTATCTCTCTCTCTCTCCGGGAGATTGAAGTTTGCGCGACGTGAAAATTGCGTTATCGTGTCAACGAGAGACACCGTACACTCGTGTGATATACATATTCGCGTTTAATGCCGAAGTTTACTACTCGTTCTTCGCTCCTTTAGCTCGCCCGTTGCCTGTATACGGACGATCCTTAAGGTTATGTTACATGAAAATGAAAAATTTAGGTTAGGTCGACCGATATTCTCTGGAAGCTTGTGGACTCTTATCGCGCGATATTTCTCTTCTTCTTAGTTATCGATTTTAAGGAATGTCAAGATTTTTATCGCATGATATATATTGTAATCACATTTATATCATAGGGGGCGGGGGGGTATATACAATATACACGTACACACGAGATGGCGACAACAGTCGGTGATGCTCGATGCGAGATACGCTCTCACTAACGAGCAATCCTCGTATGTTGCGATTGAAGCGACGAATTTGCATTTCTGTGCGTCATTTGCCGCAGCGACGATGCAGCGATCGAGTGAAATGTTGTTGTGCACCTTCCGCGGAGCACGCAAGCTCCCCGGGAGAAATATTTCTTCCGAGAGATTCATAAACGTCGAAATGAAAAGAGAAGTCCGACGCGATTGCCTATGCTCTCGCTGATTCTCCAAGATTCTCTCGTTGATTTTCTCACCGAGTGCCGCGAGGATAAACATAACCAAGGAGACGAGGAAAGCGGAAAAGGGCAGTCCGAGACGGAAGCGAAGCTCGCGTTTGCGCGGCGGTGACGCACCATGTCGTCTTTCTTTTTGTCTCTGGCCACTTTTGCCGCCACACGTCGCGTCGTCCTCCCGAAGCTTCTTTCGCACGTGAGATACCCTCCATCGGGAGAGGATTCGGGAGACGATCAGCTCGATGAGGTCGTGCGAGAAAGAGAGGGAGAGAGAGAGAGAGAGAGAGAGAGAGAGAGAGAGAGAGAGGGAGAGAGAGAGGTCTCTAATTCGTCCTCTCGTTTCTCTCTCTCTCTTTCTCTCCTCCCCTCCTTGCGTCGGCTACGTAGGGTAAGATTTCGGGGGATGTTTCGCAGGACGAACGAGCTGATCTCTCGATTCGCAGGTCATGAGGAGCAACGGCAGCGCAGCAGGGGGAGGGGGCACGTCGCGTGGAACGCTCGTCGGAGCCGCATCTCCGAGCGATAGGTGCGAACGGCACGCGACCCGACGCACGCATCGCGCCGTGTGAACTTGTCGGTGTCTCCCTCTCGCATCGGCTCTCGCTCTCTGTCGAGGAGCGCGCGAGGAGAGCAGAAAAGAAACGGGTGAACGCGCTCCGCCGCCGGAGGAGCGACGACGAGTAGATGTTCGGCAGGTAGGGCGGCGAGGGGGGGTGATGGAGATCGGGGGCAGCGACGGTGGCGGAGAGGGACTTTGGAAATGGGACGGGAATCGGATGACGGCGTGGCAGCAGCCGCCTAGCTATCCGCCTCGGTGACAGCGGCTCTTTGTATACTTTGTAGAGGAACGCTGCTTTGCGCTGCGCCGCGCATACTGTGCTGCGTCGAGCTTGCCTTGCTTGCTTGCTTGCTTGCTTGCTCGCTCGCTTGCTCGCTCGCTCGCTTGCTCATTTGCTGGCGTTGATTCGCGACGACCTTCCGGCGCCTCGCTCGCTCTCTTTCTTTTTCTCTCTCTCTCTCTTTCCCCCTCCCTCTCTCTCGCTCTCCTCTACTCTCCTCTCCTCACCCTCTTTCTCTCTTCTCGTCTCCAGTGGGGAAAAAATCAGCGGAGACGCGTGGCTCTCGCGATCCCGTTTCTCGCGGCAGCGATGGTGGTATCGCCGCTGGTGATACCGACGCGAGAAATCTCACGAAGCGGCCAGAGAGAGAGAGAGAGAGAGAGAGAGAGAGAGAGACAAACGCGCGTGGCTCCGTCGCATCATTTTGCCGACGATCGGAAGCGATTCTCGCGCGGCGGATCGGCACGGCACTTACGGCGACGTCGAATGGAGAATTACGCGAGGGATGAGACTCGGGTCGCGACAACAGAAACGGCGGCGCGATTAAGACGGGGAAAGTAATCGCGCGAGGCGAAATCCGATGGTTGCGTTACGTAACCCCCGCGCCTCCGTCCGTCCGTCCGTCTGTTTTCGCTCGAGAAACGTCTTCGGGCGGCGCGAGCCGCTACATCGCGCACCCGATATATAGGAAAGGTGTTCTCGCTCGCGCGCCTTCGCCTCCTCGCGTCGTACGAATTCAGAGGAAAAACGTGATCGATCGAAAGCGCGCGCGCACGCGGTCGGTCGGTCGGACGGACGGTCGGTCGGACGGTCGGTTGGTCGTTTGCTCATTTGCTCATTCGTTCGTTCGTTCGTTCGTCCGTCCGCTTGCTCGCTTCGCGACTACGATTTATGTCTAGTCTCGCGTGCACGACCGCGCGCGCGGTGCATCGACCCATCTCTCTTTCGATTCGCCGCGATATTACACGTTCACGTATGTACGTATGTAAGCGGAGAGCACGTCGTAAAGCTGCGCGCGCGCGCGCATATATGTATACATATGTATCTATATACATATACATAGGGCGGCACGTGAATCGCGTCCACGCCTGCGTTTCGATCATCACGCGAGAAGGAACGGCCGCTATTTTCACGCGGGCTTCGCTGATATCGTCGTCGTCGTCGTCGTCGTCGTCGTCACCGTCGCCGCCGCCACCGCCGCCGCCGCTACTCGCCGACCTCGCTATGTACGCGATAAGCTGCGTAAAGTTTTCCGTAATCTCATCCGTCGTGATACTCGTCCCTCTTCTTCGATTCCGCGGATCGAACGCGAATGCAGAAGGAAGGAACGGGCCGCTGCCGGCCTCCTTGTTTTTTGTTTGTAAATTCTTCCGCTTATCACGCGCGCGAGTTCGGCCCGCGAGAGTTCTGGGCGTCACGATTTTTCTCCAATTATTGGCGAGTTATCGTTCTCTCGCGCGCGCCTGCACACAACACGGAGCGATAAAGAAAGAAACAGGGAGGAAAAGGGGGGAGGGAGAGAGAGAGAGACGGACGCACCGCACGCACAGCGTCGCTGCGCGCTAATCGAGTGATCGCATAATGCGGTAATTATAACGGCTCGCGGAAACAAGGTCGTCTATCGCATTCCGATAATAGTCGCATAGCCGCGCTTGAATCGTCGCCTCGCGATGAGAAAGTTGGAATCCGCCGCGATTGAGCGCCGGGTTTTTCGACCCGTCGCACGCACGTACGCACGCACGCGAAATTCGGACGTATATCGCCGTACGCCTCGGCGATTCTCATTACGTAATCTCTAATGTATAGCAGGGAGACCACCACCACCACCACCACACCCCTCTCGCTCGTCTCTCCCGCATATAGGATATTCGCAGATCGGCAGATTAATTTGGAATTGAATTGTCGCGTCGAAATCGCCCGGTGGGGTCCCAGCGCGCGCGCTCCCTTGTTATGTAAGCCATCGAAAAGACACACTTTTGTCGAAACGTCATTATCGCGAGAACGAGAGCGCGAGTGTCGTCACATCTGACAATGTCGCGTGCGATTGATAAGCGGCGATTTTCCCAGCGATCGACTTGGCGCGTCGCAGCGCGTTTTTCGCTCGTCCGAATCGAGAAGCGCTCCGAGCCGCCGTTTTCTCTCTCTCTCTCTCTCTCTCTCCCTCTCGTCTCTCCGGCCGAACCCGCCAGATTAATTAACAATTGACGACCGAGAGTTCAAGGATCTTGATACATCACACACACACACACACACACACATACACACACACATGCACACACAATCCAGATTGGAATTCGATTTTTCGATCAAGTTTCGGTATATTTTCAGAGCAAATGTTTGATTCAATCATCTTGTTATCGGGAATACAAGATCGCGTGCGAATAAAGATCTCGGCTTGCGTCTCGCAAACGCGCGGACTCTCGTCGCTCTTCCTTACTCCCCCGAGAGATCATCACATCCCTTTTCGACATATCACCACTCCCGTGTGCACGATCAATCGGGTCAACGCATGTCACTCGCAGTCGCACAATCGAGAGCCAGCGATGAACGAAATTCCATGGTCGTCCCCCGCTCGAATTCGAGCATCCTTCATGTCGACGAATATCGGCGGCCACGCGAGAAGCTTTCCAAATTACATTTTTTCTTCCTTTCAAGCTGACAACGCGCCCGACGGCCAGCAGCCGGTGACCTGATTAGTCATCATCAGCCCGGCCGATCAGAAGACAGATCGATGATGGATCGTCGTGATAACGCGACTGTATCGCGCGGAAGGGGATCGAGAATCAATGTTTATTTAACGATAGCGTACACGCAGGAGACGATTACGTGCGTGCGCGCGCGCGTAATTCTCCCGGTGGTGCGGTGTTGTTAGGCGGTTTAGAGAAGCAAGGTCGATCCTCGCTTCGTCCGGATCGGCTCCGGATCGCGCGTCGCGCGCCCCAAAAAGACCATCAGCCAGGCGAGATAAACGTCCGGCCAGCTCGTACCCGTAAATCAAAGACGCCCTCGGCCCCGCTCTTCTCATGTCCGTCTGGAGAATACTCAGGAGGCCGCCCCGCGCGCGGCCGTATCCCGCCTTGAAATATATCGGAAAACGCAACGCGAGAACGGAAAACGAGTCTCGCGTCTTGATCTTCGCAGAGGATCGACTCGCGCTACCCTCGGCGAGAAATGAAATTTCGTTCATCGTCTCGTTGTTTTTTTTTCTTTTTTCTTTTTTTTTTTTTTTACCACTCTCTCGCTCTTTCTGTCTGAACGCACTCCGCTTTGTAAGCAACTCAGACTCAAACGTCCTGAAGCATGCTGCTTTCGTCGAAGAATAGGATTTAGGCGTGTTTACAGAGATGATTCGAAGATCGGAGGAGATTCTCGCAAATCGACTGGTGAGCGCGCGAAAGCACCGCACCGGTCAAGCTGTCACCTGTCAAGCATCCGTCAACTCTCTCTATCGCTTTACTTTGTACAATGAAGACCTTAGCTCTCTTGAATCGTCGCACTCGTGAAACAAATGTGTGGATTTATCGTCATGCATTTTGCATCGAATATTCCGACGAGACAATCGAGCAACGCATGTGGAAGTCATTGACAATTTAAGGATACAGAATAAGTTTACCTGCGGCAATTAACCTGAGAGAGAGAATGTATCTTTCGCGTGTAGTCTCTCTGCGTAAATTGTTAGTCAAACTGAACTCGCACACTCTTGTCGTTCGAGATTGATACAAACAATAGTAAAATTTTATTTGCCACAATCGATACTACCTAATTGATGAATTATGATAAATTATATACACCGTTGATTAATAGGATATATGTGATATATGGTAAATCATTTTCTACCTTTTTAATGCCAACAAGGTGTGTGTAGAATATAAATTCAATTTACATTGACGAAATTTCGCATTACGCAGGGAATGCATGCAAACTCTCTTTTCTTCTCTCACGCTCGTTTGCTTACACACACGCATACACTTTTTCTCTCTCTCTCTCTCTCTCTCTCTCTCTCTCTCTCTCTCTCTCTTCCAGTGTCATGTGTGTGTATGAAAACATATATATATATATATAACATAACTATTTTTATTTATAAACTTATATACTCAAAGATATAACTATATTTACCAAACCCACATTCTATTTTATCGACGAACAAAGTCGTGTAACAGCATTTCTAATGCTGTATTATGTATTCAATAAATCAATGCGATGTAAGATATGCTGAATACGCCGAAATATGAAAACATCCGCGTACTTCACACCTGCCGTATTTTCTCACAAATGTAACAAAATTTTCACGTAATATTAAAATCTACAACAAATATTCTTCGTATGCTTAGTACTTTCGTATGTATAAAACAAACCGTTCGAGACGAACACACTACACCCAGTTCTCCCTATGTTGGTTAGATATAGCGGTTAAAACTTTCGCATGAAATGTACAATTTGTTTCCTTCGAAATGGCCCTTCTTCGCATTATCTCGGTATGAGGAATTGCAATATCTCGTCGCACATTGTTTTACGATAATTATATCATACTGGTACTGGTAATTGTATTAAAAATATAAGATAAATATGTGTAACTATATATACCGTATGCGCGCGTTTCATCCGATGATAAATCTTTCACTCCAAAGTATATCTTTGTATAATCCTCTTCGTCACGCGTCGCATGACGATCTCGGTATTGCAATTTTTCCTCTTTAAGCAATGCTTTTCCTTTTTTAATCACAAAATGACGGAATCACGTGAACGCGACAAGATACTCCTTAAAACTAAATTCCAAATGCATGTCAGAAACTTCGCGGCATCTGCTAAACACACACGCAAGGCACGTAATAGCGTGTTTCGCGCGTATGTACACAGACCAGCACAACAGCCTGAGCATTCAGTAAAAAGATTACTAGTATCTTCTAATTATGCGAATTTCTTTCTAGATGATAACCGACAGAGTTCTATCACTTTGATACAAATATATTGTTTGCATACAGAATCGTTTCTTCTACATTGAATCAATAATAAATAATAAATCAATGTTACATACAAGTAAAAAATCCTAGTAACCTAATTGCATAAAATGTTAAGGCTATTATGCCGGTGACGGTACAGCAGGGATACAGCAATCAATTCAACGAGAAATCTCTACAATGGAATATACTACAATTGTTACTTGCCACTGATTCAGCTTAGCATTCTGTAGAAAATCTTTTGTACACATGTAAAAACATATATATATTAAAAGACGTGAGTGTCCGTTCTGATTGGAAGTCGGACATTCAAATAAAGTCCTTTTACGTATTTTAATCACCCACCCCTTTGAATGCTCTTTATATACTTCAAACTTGATTAAAAGCCAGTATTTCGCCTCTCATTTGATCATCGTTATGAAGTAATAAAATAGTCGGCCGAACGCTTCCAGGAATATACTCATGAGCGACAATTTCAAAAATTTCCGTAACAACAGTGTGTGCGTGGTGTGCTTCCAAAACGGTTGCGCCTCTGATGTACGATCACGTGGTCAATCGCTCTTGGTTTTTCCCTCAGTCTCACTACGATCCGTCTTTGCCTCAGCTTCGTAATTCTCCGATTTCGTTTCTGTCTCCTGCTGGCTGCCCTCATCCTCCTCGTCTGAGTAATTTGTGGGTGCCTCGCCCGGCTTCAACAACTTTCCGACATGGTCGTATCTCTCTATAATAGAAATAAAATAGATAGACTAGAGTATGATATTTTTGACGAAATTTTTACAGCCAATAACTCTTCGATCCTTGGCGATTTTTAAGACTATACAGAATGTCATCTATTTGAACAATCCGTAATCGTGTCTCAATATTTAGTTTAACATAGTATTTAAATATTACAGTATTAAAGCATAGTATTTAATGTTGTGTCACATTCGCAGCCTGGAAAAACTGTATGTGATTGGAAAATCTTGATCTTAATTGCTGCTATTCAGTAAATTAAAGTTTATGTAGTACAATTTTAATAAACAATCTCAACTATGAATAAAATATCACGAATATCATGTTCATACGTTTAAGTATTTAAGTATTTTACTGTAGATATATTTTCTAAAAATATTGCCTTGATATACACATCTATGAAGTGAAAAACACTTAAGTATACAGTATAATTATTTCCTTATCTATTTCATGCATTTAAGTTACATATATATATATAGAAGAGTATAATAATAGACATGTAATCGGTAACCAACGCATAATATACCAACAATATACAAAAAATGATATAGAGCATCAGTTAAATATCTCTGCTTTTCTTGCACTTTATTCCGCCAACTCGCAATGTCATCAATATACTGCTGTTTTCATGAAGAATCAGAAGAATTTTTGTAGCTGATCTGTACATGTTCACTCACCCTTAAACTGTTCCTCCCATTCGTTGACCGAATTCATTTCTGCAGTGTTCAAGTCACTCAAATCGTCATATTTATCTGTCGCTGCGTCCACTGCGAACCTTGCAAGCGCCCTACTAGCATCTCGACCACCAAAGGCTTCATATGGTCCACCTGCGCAAGAAAATCATACCGCGATAATGTAACACCCGACGGACGCGTGTGGAACTTACAAGTAAATAAGATACAGCAAAGAAGCCTGTAGAATACCACTGAAGCACGCAAACCGATACGCTTTCGAGTATCATTTAACAATCAATATCTAATCAGTGCGTACGGCTGCACGATCATCCATTTGCTCGACTTTTCATTCAGCTCGAACGGCTTATCATCTCGATAAGAATAATTTGATAATCAACGAGGATTCGAGGCAGGCGACATGCCTGCCCACTAGGTATTCACCACGCATACTTAGGAACTTTTTTTTTGCCACTCATAATGTGATAAGCAGCTATCGTCACCGGCTCTGTATTACGACGCAGACGGCACAATTGGTCATGACGATCATGCGACTTTCACGATTTTATTTTCGCGCGTAGCGTAATATCATCGCAGATCATTCCTTCGGGTCGCGAGCTAATAAAAAGTGACTAATAAAATGTGACCCACAGAGAGCAGGAAAGAGATAGAGAAAGAGAACGAGAGCGAGCAAGAGGGAGGAGGGGGGGGGAGAAAGAGAATGAAGGCGAGAATGAGAGGCAGAGAGAAGGGAGGAAATGGGAGAAAAGAAATAGAATCGTGTAGCCTCGTAGAAATATCGGTTCAATTTGCGAGTAGCGGTAGCGTAAGGAATCGGCGGCAGCGACGAGAGAGAATTGATCGTCGACGTAGCGTTACTCACCAGGGCCGTAGAATTTGGAGCCTCTGGTGACGTCGTAGACGTTGCCGTTCACGGCGACCAGTATCCGGCCGTCGGGACCTTTACCGTCGTATGTGGTCAGTTCTTCGATCGTGAAATCACGTCGCAGCTTCGGCAACTTCTTCACCTCCGGCACGGGCTCCTCGGTCCTAGTTTTGTTCTTGACGATCTTGTAGACCAGAACAGCGATCACGGCCACGAGCGCGAGGTTCAGCGGGCTCCTGACGATCTCGGAGATGAAGCTCGACAGATATTGTTGTTCCTGGCTGTCCTGAGCCTGGTTAGCGGCCGAACCCGGCGAGCCGCTGTTCTCGGCCATTTTGACGAATCGACCGTTCAGTAAGCGAGAACCGTCGAGGAAGACGAGAGAGAGAGAGAGGAGAGGAGAGAGGTTACGCGAATGATATCGCGCGATCGAACGGTAGTACGTTCTTCCTTTTTTTCCTTCCTTTTTTTTCCTCTTGCTTGTCCTGTTCTTCGCAGTATACGCGCTCGCACGTACTGACAGATCCAAAGTGCGGACCGGAACGACTCGCCGGGAGGCGCGGATTAATATTGCCGACAAGGCGCCGCCGCTCGTCAGCGACTCGCGCGCGCTAGCAACGATGATCGCACCACACTACTAACGATGTATACCGGTACGTGGCGCACCAACCACACGCTTGAACGTAGGCGCGTGTGCATGTGTGCGGTATAGTACATACATATATACAGCGACAAAGTCGCATCGCGCTACATACGTGGCCGCATCGCCGAGGCGCGTCGCAGGGCCGTATCCGTTGAAATTGATGCCGGACACTTTTGGTATATCGCGCGTATGTTGAATTTCGCTCGAACAAATTTCCCTCTCGCAGGTCAGAACAACAACAAAATGTGGGATCGAAGGGAGAAAACGTGTGTGTGAGATCCGCGACGAGCTCCCATTACGTGCGAGAATATACCGTGCGGTTTTCACGGTCAAGTTTGACAAACGTGACAAATCGCAGCACCTGATTTGATAAAAGGAGAGAAAGACCTTTTGTTTTACACTTTCTGATTAATATATACAAATTATGCGTGAATAACAGTCTGATTAGAGGAGAATATATAGAGGAGCATATTCATGCTAGAATTTTGAAGTTCACGACAGGTGGTGCCTGCGTTTCTCCCTCTTCTTTTCTCTGTCTGTTATTCATTTGTATATATACAGGCAGGTGTCCATATTGGCTCATATGATTCTTGGCAGTTTACTTACGTCAATATGAATACCTGTAACTTTCTGTGTGTAATTAACAGTGATATCAGAAACTGTTTTCAATACTCACTGATCATCATCAACTACGATATTTAAATATAAAGAATTCCCATATAACATAACTTATAGATATATTGTACTACATTCGTGTTTCTTAAGATATCTTTATCAAAGCGTTTTGAAAAATGTTTACTGATTTATTTTTAATGAATTTAAATGGACAATTAACGATCAATATAATATAGTTAAAACGAGAAAAAATATTTTTTGGTGTAATTTCTCTATAATTTATATTCAAAATCGCTGCCAGAAAGTCACACACAAGCAGTATTTGTTTTATATCTTGCGATATAATATAGAGTACAAATTTTTTTGTCTTTATCGAATACCGAATTATTAACTAAAAAATACCGCTAGTGGTTCTGCTAGTTATTTATCAGTTTAGCCAAAGTTTGGCGAACACTATTCTTACGTATTTTATCGAGCATGTTGCGATTAGTTTGAAGAAAGTAGAGTTGGTTAAAACTCTATATATATATTCATAGCTCGATGTATTAACTGTTCTCCTAAGTCTTAAACATGCCGTTTCCGCTTTTTGTCCCCCTTTCTCTCTGTCGTCCTCTCTCTCTCTCTCTATCTCTCTCTCTCTCTCTCTCTCTCTCTCTCTCTCTCTCTCTCTCTCTTTCTCTCTCTCTTTGTTTCTGTTTCTCTATAGCGAAATACAGTTATTTCGTAAAAAAAGAGAAAAAAAAATTTTCTACGACTTATTTACAATATTATGAGAAAATAATTGAAAACGGCAATATTGATTCGTTTTACTCTAGAATTCTTTTATAAGTATATTGTAACAACTATGTAACGGAATTCATGATGAACACGCATTATTATGCGTGTCGATTCTTCAAAGTCATGCTGCACCGACATGTGGCGCTTAAATATATATTCCATCGAATTTGAATACAAGAACTTGAAGGTTATTCACTGGTAAAATTATGCCAGTCATGAGACAATACTGTGTTCGCATACTTTTTTGCTTCCGATATATTTAGCAGAAGAAACATATAATGCAAATGCAGTCAGGATAAAGTTTACGTAACAAAAGTTAGAAAACAGATCTAGCAAGGTAATAAAGTTAAAGTTGGTTGTCTAACTACAAGAATTTAATCACAAGTGTTATAATTTTGTTTTCTAGCGTTTTAACTGTCCATGTCTAACATTTGGCAATCAAAATTGCAAAATCGTTACTGAAAACATGTGAACAAAATATATGAATTTGCACTTGTAAAAGATTCTTAGATGCTACGTTCATATTAACAGCAAAACTATTGCAACTTCGTGTCACAGTTTAATGACAAATAGGCGACAGGAATTGACCAGATGTCATTTTTTGTTTTTGCAATATTCTGCTTTGATCATGTCGACTTTTTATCATTGATAGCAATAATTTACATTTGCCACTAAATTGCCGTCGAAATTGAACTCTACGATTGAAATTATATTCGAAGTTACGATTGGTTCTATCGATACCGATCGGTACGAGACAACTTCACACAGCAGTTTGAGTTTTCAAAAAGATTGTAAAGCGTTATACCAGAGTTGAATCATTTTATATTTTACGTTTATACCAATATCTACATTAAAGCATGGCTTGCAGAGCAAATGACACATAGATATATAACATTGATTCTTTATACATATATATATATAATATAATGAGATTATGTACCTCTTATCTTGTACTCAAATAAATTGTACTCATAATGGACGGCACCGTTTGCGTTGAGAATACTGTTGTTTTACTGCTCTCGAGTCAATCGAAATATCCCACTTACTATCACTAATATCTGAAACTATTTTACGAAGTACCATCTGTTGACATGTGGATCATATTTACTTACCTAAGGCACACAATAAACAAGGCACATTTCATGTGTGCAGTAAAAATGCGGATTTCTATACAGCTAAAGTGTTTCCTAATTTGTGTAAGTTAGACTATAAATTCGGTTTTTGTACACTAACACAAATATATTCTATTTCTAATATGTAGAAATTAGGCCTTTATAATCGTCTTTTCCTCTTGAAAGTCTAGATACGGATGGATATCAGTGACAGATGAGACAGCCTCTGACCCAACTCTCTCTGAGCACATTGGACAAATTTCTTCAGATTCAATGATCCTACATAAAAAAAAAATCATACGATAAATATGTATATTTATGTTACAATGTATGCATTATACTCACCTTAAAAATTCACTTCTAATGGCAGGGAAATCACATTGGGGACATACCGTAAAATCATCCTCCACGATATGTCGTCCCTGTAAAGAAAAAGTAACGACAGAGAAATAAGGAGATTCTGTACTTCTTTTTTTCTTTAATTCTTAAATATCCATTTGAAAGTGTTTTTATATATACCGTCGCAATACAGAAAGGTATGGTATTCTTGCATTTATCACAGGTTACTTCAGTCTCGGGAACTCTGCTCTTGCAGTACGGGCACGGAGTGAGAAGCTCATCTTCGTTCTCGACATCCTTCGCTCGTGGTGGTTTCCTCACAATTGCTTCGATCTTTTTGCTATATTTCGCGTCGACCTGTTCTCGATACTCGGGACGCATCAGCATAGCGGCAAAATTGAAAGCCGCACTCTTCAAGCCCGCTCTATGGCATTCTATTACAGTCGAAGTTAATATTGGTACGATATCTGAAAGAAAATGCGATATTTTCTATACATGTAGATACGTACAATTGAACGTTTATTAATTTATTAATTGCCTGGAAAATTCTGCCGTACTAACGTGATGGAAATTTTGATATGTTGTGTGCTACTCTTATTAGCATCCGGGCGCCTCGCAAGTGGTCACTTCTCTTCACGTGCAACCTTACCAGGATGTAAGAGTGCAAGAGCCTTAGATTAGTTTGCATTTCTAACGGTATTGTAATTTTATTTCTTTTCAACTCTTGATACATTCCAAACAGTACGTCATGAGCGTTTCTGTAATTTCCTGAAATAAAAATTCATAATTACATCGTTACTTTTGGGTTTATGATACGTGCAAAAACACATACCATTAATTTGTTCTTCATTTGCAATAATGATCGCCGTCTTAGCCGCCTCTTTGTACTGTTTCCTAGCCATGTACAAGCGGAAAAGATACTTCGGATCCTAGTAAAATATAAAAGTGTTAAAACTTCGCCTACGAGTTATACAAATGAAATAGGACTATAGGATTGTTTTTATACTTGTTTTTATAATATATTATTTAATAGGACGTGTGTTTTTATTTCTATAGAAAAAACTATCTATAGGAAACAGGTTCGAATCCATGCATTTGGGATAAAAACGATAGTAACCTTTGGTAATCCATCCCCCCCTAACAAGAAATCTATTAATTGATTAGCTAATTTATCCTCCTTAGAAGATGCGACAGTGTCTATGGCATAAGTAATCGCTCTGTCATCATCTGGCACTAGTTGAGCAGCTTTTAATAGATGCCGCAGAGCCTTAAGAAAAGAAACGTTCGTTAAGACGTTTATTAAAATATTTGTATCATGTTTATACCTAATGAAGAACGGAAGTTTAGACGCAGTACACTTACTTTCTGATACTCTTTGGCGTGGAAATAGTACTTTCCAGCTAAAAGATTGTTCTTCTGGGATTCAAAGTGCATCGCGAGGCTTTTAAAATCTTCCTTGCGAACATTAGTGTCTTCGATTGTATTTACCAAGATCTCTCCGTACAGTTCCATTTTGCCGTGCTGATTAGCCAGTTGAAAGGCTTCGTCGTGACAGTTCGATAGAATAAGGAACTTAATAGCTGCGTTGTAATCGTTCATTTTTTGAAAATATTTCGCAACCATCTTTGCACCTTCTATACTTTTCGTTTGCTGAACAACTTCAACACTGCGAGCTGTAAAGATGTATAACAACAGTCGAACATATACATACCATTTCAATACGGCTAAGGCGTTTGTGGTGAATTTTGTATGTAATGAATGTAACATATTTACCAGGATTGTTTAAATGTTCCAGATTGATTCTGATTATATTGTCATAATCTTTAGCGGTTTCATATGCTTTCGCAGCTTCCTCGTATTTACCCTCGGACTCTTTGGCCTTCGCATATTGTATGTTAATTTTTGCTGATGATATTTGCGGCAGAAGCTGACCTACTTTATGCCAATTCTTTAATTTTATGTACGCGGAGGCAGCTTTGTCGAAGTATTCAGCTCTCTCGTATAACAGCGCAGCTTCGTTAAATTGCTAAAAATACCCATGTACGTTAACAATATCGAAAGACGATCAAATTTTCTTATGAGCCTTAGAGCGTCGACGATCATACTTTCATTGATTCCAGAATCTCGGCACACTCCTTTCGCAGAAGTCTCGAACTTTCGTTATCCAGCGCTATCCCGACACCTTTTCTACTGTCACCGCATCTAATAGACATCCTCGCTATTCCTGCCAAACACTGGTTTCGGTGATGGGGATTTTGTGCTACCAAGGTAGACGAAGTGTTGTAGTCAACCAAACCACGTTCATAATTTGTTAGAGCCTTTGGATAATTCCCGCTGTATAAAAAACGGATATTTTACTTATTTAATAATTATCAATTGTATCTTTGCTATACTGCAATAGATTGTTTAATATTAAGATCTTACGTGAATTCTAATTGTTGAGCATATTCTCTGGCGATAAAAGGAATTTCATCAGGTTTCAATTTCTGTGCCAGACTTAACGCCTGTTCCCATTGCATCAAATCCCTTCTCAAGTACAAGGCCTGCACGGGTTCGGAAGACTGTAGAAAATATTTTTCAGCTTCGTTATAATCTCCCAGTAGTATACAAGCTTGACCACACAGCAACGCCAGTTCGTCTATATCCTCCATATTTTGCAACGTCCATACCATTGAGGCATCTTCTATTTGCCGATATACACGAATAGCTGTACGTGTGAATAATAAATTAAATACATTATCATTTGAACGTTGCTTGTTATGTATATGTTACGCAACATTACGCTTACCGAATTCAATATTCAAGTTCGCGATAGCGCTTCGCCCCAGTTTTAGCCAGGCGTCTTTCTCGTTTAATTTCTCACAGCTGTTCCACGCTTGTTGAAAACTAAATTATACAAAGGTGTGTGTTTAAATTCCTATGTACATGTTCGCATATTTATTTGTAAATTATTAAATTGCACAGCTCTCACCGTCTACATAGAATCTGATTGTTCAAAATCTCGTTGATCTTTTTAGACTCCACGATATTTCCCACTTCTTCGTGAGAAGCTAACGTTATTTGTATCAACTTGCTACCCGTTGTACTTAATGTCACCTCTCCCGAGTACATCAATAAAGGCACTGATTCCGATGGTAACTTTGTAGTATTTATCTTTATTATTTTGGTACCTATTGTGAAATTTTTTAGCAAATTAGATTCCTCGATAAAATAATATATAGTAAATTTACTCAGATGTTCAGACCTTCGACGAAGTATTTTACAAAAATGTACGTCACGATGCTGCTTTTATTGTATATCGCAAATATAGCACGTTCGAATATGTTCTGATCCCAAAGAATACCGTTGATGTTATCTGGGCAGTCAGGCACTACAATGGCTGCTTCGTTTATCGGATCGAATACGTAAACGTCCGACTTATTGTCGACAAAACACAATTGCGTTCCATTCGCGTCCAAATATAACTCCTTTATGCCATTGTTATGTATAAATTCAGTACACTGGTTGAACGTCTCTAAGTAAAAGTAAACGATGTGGCCCATCTACGAATTTTAGAAACTCGCGTTAATTGTTTGAATTTAACGCAAGAAATATCCTGCGGCGACGTTGACTTACGTCATTACCATAAACCAAAAAATCCGAGCAAAGGGCATGACACGTTATTCTACTGTGAGTAGAATTCGAGTCCGGAAACATCTTTGTGTCTTTTCCATCATTCGTTAACGTCTGATCAGATTTAATCTGTGCGTATAAAGTAAAAAACTAGTAGATCCATTTTACTATTCGCGTATGTTAATTCAAACCTCATCCGCGTAATTACCGTGTGCAACTGCAGCTTCCCGTCGAACAACGCCGACACGTACGTTTCGTTCAGACACATGCTGTCTATTGTGGCCAGATAATCTCTCTCGAAGTGTATCTTATCGTAATGGCTTATAGACAAATCCCAGAAGAGTGCTCTATTGTTCAATCCTACTGCTACGTGAATCGGACCCACTGCTAATATCGACGGTTCTATTATGGTATTGATTATCTGCGGACTCGGCTTATCCTAAAAGAATAATTCCTCGTAAAACAGAAGCTGTGTATCATCTCATGCGATTGGAAGTACCTTGTCTAATGTGTAAAGGTGCACAGCTACTTCCATCAGACTCGTTAATAACGCTATCCTGTTGCCGCAAACGCTAGTCAACTTTGGAATCTCTATCAAGTAGATCAAAATGTTGCCGATATAAGTGACAACCGCCAGCATCGTTCCGTCCGTCGACCATTCGATATTGCTGACTCCAGTTTCGTTGGTCACTGAGATCAACGTCTCGGTCTCCTCTAGACTCTGCAAGCTGTGCACTTTGATCGTGCTATCACCGCAAGTGGCTACCTTTCCTACCGCATGACTCAACGCGATATCCATTAGAGAGTCTCTGTGGTTCTTTACTTGGAACAATTCTTGACCCACTTCTTTTATATGTGTCGATATTGCTATGATGAATCCAGCTTCAAAACCTACTAGTATATAACCATCCCCATACCTGCAAAGTAAAAGTGCATGTGTATTGTTATTAATATAAGGAAATATGTTAGAGTTAGCAATTGTATTGTTATATGGATACTTACCATTTATAAGTTACGATTGAGCCATAACGTTTCTGAAAGGCCAATTCAATAGGATTCTCTGGATCCAGAATATTGTACAAGAATAATGTTGTCTTGCTAACAATAAGGGATACCTATATTTATAGATAAATAAAAACGAAAGAATACAGATTTTATATTAACAAATTTTTAATGTTATCAGTAATATATGTTGATGAGATCTTACTGTATTTTCACCGCCTATTCTATGGTCCATTTTCATTTCACTAAATTGCAGATGAGACGGATCACCTTGAAGACTTATTTCACGGCGTGTATCTCCTTCAATTGTGCTGATAGTTAGAACTTTATCTTCACTTGCCAAGGCAAGAAGACCATCTACTGACCATGCACCGCACACAATACGCTTCTTATGCTTCCCCAAAATAGGTATTCGTCTGTATTTCATAAGATAAAACAAATAAATGATAAACTTTGCCTTACAGCAATATTCTAATATATTTTTTGTTTTATTTTAAAAAGGAAATATATTTTACTTGGCATTTATATGATCATAAAGTATCAGATTTCCTTTTTGTGTCCCTATTGCTAACAAACAACTCTTCTTTGCCCACATCATGCAGCTCAATCCATCTCTGACACCTGCATCTATCTGGGACTTTTTTCCAGTTGTCGCATCCCATAGAATTATGCTTGACGAATTCTGTGCTATTATTGCCAGCAAATCTCCATCTGAGTCCCAACCAAAACCAGTACATAATCCAGGAATTGATATTCGTTCCTGAATATCACCTTGTCTATCAAAAATGGCAACTGTTGAATCACAACCTGTGGTAGCCAGATGGGTGCTGTTTCCAGGACGCCAAGCAATATAGATATTGCCAGTGCCATGAGGCTGGTCGAGTCGATAAAGGATCTGTCAAAAAATTAATTTGAATAAATATTCGTTTACAACAGGACAAAATCTATATAGAGATGAACTAGGCAAAACGAATGAAAACATGGATTTATCGATCAACACCGAAGACATTTTTTCCCTTTAATGTAATTAACATTGAAGTTTTTATTAATAAATTTCGTACGAAACAATGCTGTCAATGTCACATAACCTACCTTTTCAGAAGACATTGCGACGAGGGAAATTCGATTTTCAAGGGAAAATTAGTCAGTCCGCCTATTTAAATACATTTAAACATGCCTACATAGTATTGCGATACATAGTTGAAATATTGATTTATTAAGCAGTGCCGTTTGCTTGTACCGATGTACTTCGTACACCGGCCATATTGTTTACTTTTACGTTGCTCTCGCGATTACAGATGGACGACAGGTTTGTTCCTTTTGTTTGTACTTTTTACACTAGTGCAAGAAGCGCACATAAAGCCAGCGGCATACGGTACTTGTTTTCGTGCTTGATTGCTTGCTGGATGAAAATACTGCGTTCTGATTGGTACATTTCCGAAGATGGATGGAAATGCACCAATCAGAACGCAGTATTTTCATCCAGCAGGCAATCCAGCACAAAAACAAGCATCGTGTGCCGCTGGCTTTAAACAGGTGTCACACTGCACCGACACTGTGGTGCGATTCTATAACTCGTTATTGGAGTTAATGACACTTTCGTTATCGTTGCGCAGCTTTTGTGTACCGTAGAAAAGCTGCGCAACGATAACGAAAGTGTCATTAATTCCAATAACGAGTTACAGAATCGCACCACTGATATTTGTTCGTTTTCGCTGAACAAACCTTAGCAATTAGCTGTAGTTTTGCTTTTAAATTCAAAACAAGTATATAATTTAGCATTGAAAAAAGAAACAAAATGTAACTAGATCTTAATTCGGCTAAAAAGGATAATCTTACATTTTGTATCATCTACGTTCTAAAATGTGCTAACAATATTGAACATTTGCAAATCGCCTCACGTGTATACTATAGAATTTTGGTACTGACAATGTATTTCGAAACGCGTCTCTCATTGAAAAATGCTCGTTGGCGATTGAGTTCACACCCAATAAGCAAAATGTTAGCAGTCTGCCGGCAGATTGACGGCAGAAACGAGCAGAAACTGCGAGTAAATTCTATTGTATGTTTTATTTAAATGATTACAGAACGACAGATCCTGTCGTTTTTGCTGGCAAGTTGCCAAAAAAAGAAAATTCACAACGTACGCAAAATCTGCTGCTGCAGATTTTGCGCACTCGAGTGTGCTGGCTAATGCCCGTTTCTACCAACTGTGGTTAACCTAACCGGCTGGTTATTCCATTGCAATTAACCAATCGTACTTGTGTTAAATTCTGACACAACGACAATTGTAATTGGTCAGTCCCGCTGTAACAACCAATCGATCAAGTTAGCCGAGATTGGTAGAAACAGGCGATATAAATATCGCGAACGATCGGTAATATCAGAGAGTTCTCCAATTCATCTCAGACCCACCAGATAAATTACATAATTTTTCATCCAAGGCCACAGGTTACGTTATCTCGTCAGTAGTGTCAGCCGATCTTAACAGGTGCCGCCTCTTACCCTCTGGCCCACTCCTCTCTCTCTCTCTCTCTCTCTCTCTCTCTCTCTCTCTCTCTCTCTCTCTCTCTCTCTTTCTCCTGCCGACTCACTGTTCTCGCAGAGCAAAAACTGTGCTGCCGTTATTCCTATTCCCTGCCGTCGTCGCGCGAAGAAACGTCCGGTGGTGCACTTTACTTGGTCGAGGATGGCCGCGATGCTGTCCAATTGTTCGCGGTTCGCTACTCGCGCGATCACGCGAGATAGTGTGTTACGGGCCAAGGTAAGTGCGCGATTCTCTCGTTTCGCCGCATGTCTCGTACTGTCGCGGCACGACCAACACCTGTGATATTTACTTTCAACACACGAGATCGCAATCTCAGACTCTCGCTGCCGATTCATGGTTACGTGCGAGATGCATTCGTTCGGTTGAATCATCTCACCGCCCCTTTACAATCGCAAAGACGATTACATAATAGTCTTCGCCGATTGCGGTACAATCACGACTCGCGCTCGTAGTGAGCTGTCAATTCCACCGTCGGTCGAGGAACCTCCTTTAATCGCTGAGGTCGCTGATTCTCGGCAAGTGCCGAGCACCGGAACATCACGAATGATCATCGTAATCACTGCACCGCGTGATCGACGGCAGCCCGTTCTCTCTTTCTCTCTTTCGTGGTGGTAACCAAACCTATTTTTATCCGGCCCATGCCGTCACACCGCACGCGTTTCATAAGATCAGTCGGTCGTTTTTCTGACTGAATCTTCGGCTTTTTATCTTGTCGCCATTTTCGTCACATTCCACGCATCTTTTAAATCAAACTAATTTTTGCGTCTGCTCTTTTTTTTTTAGATTACGAGATCGTTGTACAGCCAAGGTAAGGTTAGCTGATATTAAGATACAATGAGATATACATAACAACGAATGCGGAAGTGATACCTGTGCAAAGTAGTATATCAATTTGCAAGTCCGTCAACATAAGAAAGTATTAACCGTACACATTACTTTTGTAGGGAGAACCGTACTTATCCAAACTAAACATGTATTCAATACCAAAACAATATTGTGAGTATCGTTTTACTTGAATGTATATCTGTGTAATCTATAAAAGTAACTACTGACAATATAATACTCCAATTTAATATCCCATATTCTCTTTATCAAAAAGCTTAGAAAGAGAGAGAGAGAGAGAGAGAGGGGGGGAGTCTTTTTATGCTACATGAATACTTCCAAAATCTAAAAAAAATGAAATGAAATTCAAGCAGGTAAGATTAAAATATTCTTTTTTTGTACCCACAGATGTAGGAAATATAAAGGAAACCAACGTTGGATAAATCAAGTGAAACATATACATTCAACTTCGGCTTTATGTAAGTATAATCAATTTGATATCATTATTAATTTTTCCAAACAATATATAATTAATGTTTATGCTGTATCTGGATAGGGGAAATCAGAGAAGTTGTAGTTCCTGCATTTGCCGAAAGTGTAAGCGAGGGTGACGTGAGATGGGAGAAGAAAGTTGGTGATCAGGTCAAGGAAGATGATATTCTTTGCGAGATCGAAACAGATAAGGTATGTTCATACATTCTTAATTCCTTAAAATTAAATATAATCACAATATTAAAAAGGACATTTAGTAGTTACATTTATATTTAGTAAGTACAAAGGTGTTGAACATCAAAGAACTTTAGATAGTAACTTTGGAAGAATCTATGCATCTATGTATATAGAAATGGATGCATATCTGCAAATTTTATTACAAAATGAAAATAACAAAACTTTATCCTACTGACAATTGTCTGTTGTCCGCAGACTTCGGTCCCTGTTCCGTCGCCTGGTCCTGGCGTCATAAAAGAATTGTTCGTTCAAGATGGCGATACTGTGAAGCCAGGACAGAAGTTGTGTACTATCGACATAGGAGCAAGCGGCGGAGCCACGGCCGCACCTGCGACGGAGAAGCCGAAACCCGCTGCGGCTGCTCCACCATCCCCGCCACCATCAGCGAAAACACCTAGTGCGGCGGCTCCTCCACCACCGAAACCCGCGACACCACCCGTGCCGCCTCCCGCTGCTCAACCACCACCTCCACAAGCACCTACAGCTTCAATGCCGGTTGCAGCCATCAAACATGCGCAGGTAAAAATTGTGCAAGGCATATTTCCTGGAAATACATTATTCAAAACAGAAAATTGTTATCTATATTGAATTCAGGATTGTACGAAATATATAGACAACATTTATGTGATCATCTAATCATTTTAACCAGTATATTATAGCATTCTCGATAATGGTTTGCGCTTTCAGTCGCTGGAAGGTGCGAAAGTTCAATTACCTCCCTCCGATTATACGCGTGAGATAATCGGTACCAGAACAGAGCAACGAGTGAAGATGAACAGAATGCGTCTACGTATTGCGGAACGTCTCAAGGATGCGCAGAACACGAATGCTATGTTAACCACGTTCAACGAGATTGATATGAGGTAATTTCATATTAAACCGCACAAATTGTAAGATCACAACTATATTAACTCAAAACAATTTATGTAGAAAAAAAAATATATATATATATATATTATGTGTATGTTTCTTTTCTAATGTTTATTTTTATATTTCTCTTTATATAATACATGTCTCGTGATGGATTTGCAGTGCTATTATGGAATTCCGAAAATTACATCAGGATTCCTTCACGAAGAAGTACGGTATCAAGCTTGGATTCATGAGTCCGTTCATCATGGCCAGTGCTTATGCTTTGAAAGACCAACCTGTAGTAAATGCTGTCATAGATAGGAATGACGTCGTATACAGGGATTATGTTGATATCAGCGTAGCAGTCGCGACGCCGAAAGGTCTCGTCGTACCGGTACTTCGCAGTGTAGAGAATAAAAACTTTGCCGATATTGAGATTGCTCTGGCCGCGCTTGGTGATAAAGCTAGGAAAGGGAAAATCACTGTCGAGGACATGGATGGTGGCACTTTCACGATAAGCAACGGCGGCGTTTTCGGCTCGATGATGGGAACTCCTATTATTAATCCACCACAAAGTGCAATTCTTGGGATGCATGGCGTTTTTGACAGACCAGTCGCCATTAAAGGACAGGTAATTCAAAGAAATTCATTCTTAAAAAATGTTACTCTGACTCTGAGTATTATAACGTAGAACAAAAAGATAAAAGAGTCTAGTTTTATTAAATGTATAATCTTCTAAATCCTTGTTTTTAAGTTTAATATGAAGTTTGTTTAAAAAAAGGAGAAAGGGAGAACTGATATCCTGATTTCTATGATTCGAATGTAGAAGCGCATAACAAAGTGTTCAGATTTATTATATAGTTTTTCATATTCGTAATGAATTTCTCCATTACGAAATTAACGATTATATTTTCTCTCCCAGGTTGTAATTCGACCAATGATGTACATAGCTTTAACGTACGATCATCGTCTGATTGACGGACGCGAAGCTGTGATGTTCTTGAGGAAGATCAAAGATGCTGTAGAAGATCCTAGGATTATGTTAGCTGGTCTTTAATAACTGAAGACAACGTTTGCTACATGTAATGTGCGTTGTTTAATAACTTTTACGACCATTGTGAATAAACAAGAGCGCGACGTCTGAAGGAAAGTCTTAAAGACGATAGGAGATCTTTCCGCTTGTAAGAGTACTTACTTATCATTGGAATTAAGGTCTCGCTACCTTATCTCAATTCTATTTATTTTCCGAGTGCACGTGTCAGAAAAATCGCCGCATGTAATGATAAACACGTCACTTAGTTCTGCTCATCCTTGTAATCTTGGATTGTCATCCTGAAAATATTGTAAGCCAATTTTAGTCGGTATGAACTCATTGTTGAATGTGATTTTTATTATCGATTTTTCGACGAGACGGCAGCGCGCGTAACTGCGTTATGTATGCGTAATCGTTATTTTGTTTGAAACAGACTTAAATTTCTGTTCTCTTAGTCTTCATCTTAGTAATTTGTAGACGTCTGATAAACAAAAGAAACCTGGTGGGGTGTTGGAAACCAGGAAAATTAGAAAATACTTGATTAAATGTAGATCCACAAGCTAAAATAAAATCTCACCAATCTACATGTTTAGCATTGTTGAATTGCAGTCGTATCAATAATAAAAGAAAATTATATCCGCTTTCACGCGCGTTATATGTTAAGCTGAATATCTCAAAGGTCGTTTAATATATTTTAATTTTGAGTTGATTATCTTATCACGAAAATGTCGAAAAAATATTTATTATTGTATTTCTTATTTTACGGATTTTTCCAATTTTATATTCAGTATTATATATTTGTAACCAGATCTGAAATTTGAATTTTATTAAAATAAAATCTAGCAGTATTTCTGTTATTGCTTAGTTTGGAAATTAGGAGCAAATGAGTTTAATATTTGTTTGTCTTTTTTAATTTCACTTTCTCTTTAGATATAATAGATAGATATCTTTTAATTTCATTGTGATACGGAAGTTATATATTCACCTCGACATTACTAAAGAAATTTTCAAATGGAAGATCTACTCAAAATTAGTCCCAATTATTCGCAGAATGAAGTTGGTTTGATACAAAACATGTCTGTTCTAGAAACTATAACTTTCTATTTGCATAGGAAAACAGGATATTCCTAATATGTGATCTTGTAAATCAAAATTGTTTTTAAATAAAAACGTAACGCAATGTGACGTGTTTTATAATGAAAGATGTTTAAGGTTGCGTAACAAACAGAACACACTGCCAGAACGCGTACGAGTATTTTGCATTGCTAAGTCAAGTGTTTGATACGAATTTTTTCGTATGTGAGTAAACATGTTAACATTGATAACAGCATATGTTATCTTGTTGTCATCATTTTATATGTTTACATCGTCACCCTGAATGTGCGCTTCGTGCGCCAAGATATATAAGTGCTCTTTTAGTCCTGTTGTAAAATATGTTGTACATCATTATTTATTAATGACAAAACACATAAAGCACATTAATTAAAACATTGGACTCTTTGTATTATTTTAATGTTATTAATTTTAATGATATTTTAATCGATAGCAATAAAACTAATAATAAATTGCTAATTCATAAGCAATTAAGATAATTTTTCTTAAGAAAAATCATTTCCCATATATAGTTGTTTTGAAATAGAAATATGAAGTTGGAAATTGAGAAAAAATATAAATAAGGTATATTTTTCACATTTTTTTTAAATAAAGAAACATTTTGTTATAATTATTTTATTTTACTATTTTGTTTTGCATTGTTTGTAACATTTTGGGAGGAAAATTAAGTAATATTTTCAAATTGCTTATGTGATGAGTTTCTCAAAAAGTTTTAGCATGACCAAGTTTATTTAACAAGTTTAGAAAAAAACTTGAGAGTGGTCATGCTTTGTGGTAATCGAAGGATGCATTTCTCAACGTGACTTTTGCGAAAGTACGCCTAGGTAAAGCCCGTTCGCATGGTAACCTAGAAATGCGCTTGATTCCAATCCGTACTACTCCCATCAAATTATAATAAGTTAGAAAAAGACAGCCGAATAATCGATTTAAGGTCATTCTACAATACGTGTCGTAAGTTGTAAGCCGTAAGAACTGACCAATTATAGCCGATTATTTTTGTAATAATCGACTGTGATTCGCCAATTCTTACGGCTTACAACTTACGACACGTATTGTAGAATGACCTTGAACCTTATCGCTGTGAGTCACTAACAAGTTAGAGAAAGGTTACACAATCGCTCTGCTCTGATCGTATCACCGACAAACATAGAGCACGGCGGTAAACACGAAACATGAAACACGAACGATGTTATCACGACACATCCTCTTCTACATGTCTGAGATTAAAAAATATGATTAACATATATTATATATTTGAGTAGAAATGTGCGTTCCAAAATTGTATCCCAAATGCAGATTATGACGACAATTTTCAAGTACAATTGTTATAATTTACACCGCAGGAAAATGCCAGTTATAGACATCTATATTGTAAGCTAGATTGCTAAAATCCCCTTATATACTGCACCAAGCATGGACCTTGAAAAATATGTATTATATATGAGAAGTAAGCATTTGTATATGCGTAATGTAACTAGTACAGAAGAAGAAGAGGAGGGTGGTAGATATTGTTGATATAATATTGTTGACGCTTATACTGAAGGAGAATGTCAGAAAGTATTGAGAAATGTACATTGAAATTCGACCAATCAGACGTAAATGTTATGCTGCTTACGCGTAAGTTCTGTACATATTTTTCAGAGTTATGTATTTCGGAGGAGTTAGGTGTTTGGTAGTATATATAAAAATATATGCTCTGAACAATGTACCTGTCACATGACACGTGTAGGTGGGGACAGAAAGCATATTTCTACTTGTCACGAGCATTTCGCGGTCATTCAATAACAGACGTCGGTCGCAGCACGCAGCAGGTGAATAAACAAAAATACTAAATATTTACTACTAATTCTAAACATTAAATATTACATAAATACTGTACTCTCTTTTGCACCTTATTATATTTATATACTTGCATATTGCATCATTTTTTTGTATGTAAGCACAAAGCGTAAAGCAACCCGATGGCTACAACAACAACCGCAGCAACGGCGACGACGGCCACGTCAGCAACAACAACGTCGGCTGCGACAGATCCGATGATGACAGCTTCAACGTCCACGAGAGCTTCGACAGCCGTCGCGGACTCGACGCCGATTACATTAACTGTAAGTTTTTAAAAACTTATAATTGAGTTAGTAAGTTTATTAATCAATATAATCATGACATGTTTTTCTGCCTTAATATGCGAATATATAAATATATGTTGATGATAAATTTTGTAATTTCTGTTTTATTACAGACACAAGCGCTCGTTAATCTCGTTCAAACAACAATAGCAGAGGTCCTTCGCAAAAAAGTCAGATGCAGAAGCAGAGGCAGAGGCAAAGGCAGAGGCGGGTGGAGAGTCAGAAGCAAAGGTAGAAACGGAGACAGAGGTCGATGCAGAGGCAGAGACAAAGGCAGATGTAGAGGCAGAGGCGAGGATAGAGCTGAAGGTAGAGGTAAAAGTAGAGACAGAAAGTTCGGGAGGATAAACATTTATTACTGTTCGGAATAAAATATCTTTGCAAAAAACTTACATATATATTCTTTATATCTTTATGTCAATGTATCATCATTATATATTTTTTTTCTTTATATATTATATAATATCTATAATATACATACATATATATATATATATCAATTTATCATTATTATAAATATATATTCTGTATATCAATTATATAAATAATATAAAAATATATATTATAAAATAACATCTGTGTGTGCGTACATATATTTCCTTTCCTTTCCATAAATAGGCGACCGTTAATTTTGTCCGAAATCCTTTTTATCCCGAATTTCACCGAATTTCACAACCTGATGTAACGCGTTAATGACAGATGTTATCGCTATGCGACAAGAGCAGAGCGATTGTTCAGCCATCCTTCTCTAACTTGTTAGTGATTCATAGCCTAGTCATGAATCCGCCATGGTGCGACAAGGTCAAACCATTTACTTGGCTGTCCTTTTCTATCTTATTATAATTTGATGGAAATTATACGAACCGAACCAAGCTTTTACATTACTTACTTTACATTACTTATAAATTAGGTTTCACTTAGGTGTACTTTTCAGAGATCGTGACGCTCCTTGGTTATCATAGGGCTATTCTTAACTTCTTCTACAAATATTTAATATATTTGTGATTATTAATGCGTGTATGATTATATATATATATATATATATGTAGTACTCTCTTTATTATATATTATAATTATCAGGGATGGGAAAGTTACTTTTTAAAAGTAACTCGTTACCGTTACCGTTACTTTCGGTAAAAAGTAACTCGTTACCGTTACTCGTTACTGATCTTAAAAAATAACGCGTTACCGTTACTTGAAAGTAACGATATTTTATTTCGTTATTTTCCGTTATTTTTTTTTGTTGTAAATCCAGGCTTATAAGAAAAGTGCTAAGACAAGATATAAATCGGACATAAGACGATTATAAATATATATATACAGAGTGTCCCATTTTAAAGGACCCACTCAAGTATCTCAGAAACACTGCATTAAATCGAAAAATGCTTAAGACAAAAGTTGTTTGACTTGAAGGGGGACATAGGGCAGCGATAGCGTTTTGTTTATAGATGGCTCCATTTTCGAGATATTTACTGATTATCAACTTTCTTAAATGAAAATCCAAATTTTTTATTATATCATCTTTTTACACCAATTAATTTGAACAACTTTTGTCTGAAACATTTTTTTATTTGCTTAATATATTGTGAGATATTTAAGGAGAACTTGGTAACTTTTCCAACATTTACCTTACGATATCTCGCTAACTATTTGTCGAAAAAAAAAATAGTATTAGACTTTTTAATTTATTTACTATCAAGAATATACTACTATAATAGTGGCCTAACTTTTATTAATTTAATAATTTTGAAATTTCCAAAGGTCGATAGGTATCCCCATTTCCGGGAGGAAATGATTCTTTTTTGGCTAAAATTTCGACATTTTCGAATCAGATAAACACGATGTTATTGTTACAAACCCAAACGTTTACCAACTGAATATTATTGCTAGATATCAAAATTAAAAAATAAAGCTTTTTGCAGACATTAGAGGTTAGAAAATTACATAATATAGCAATTGACCGCCAGATGGACCAAATTAAGGCTGCGTTCCGATATTCACTATCGGTACTGAAAATAAATAGTTTGTGTCACGTATATTATAGATTTTCAGCACTGGCAGTGAATATCGGAACGCAGCCTAATTTACACACCTAATATATAGCTACGGCCAATGGATGACAATATGTGAGTCCATCTTTATTGGTCCTCACTAAATCCAGCATAAAACAAAAAATGCAAAGAAATTAAATACAATTAAGTTTAATTTTATAAAAATTAAAAAGTAACGATTAAAATAACGGATATTTTGTTACTCGTAACAAAAAAAATGTATCACTGTTACTTTTTCGTTACTGACACAAAAAAGTAACGGCGTTACCTAATCGTTACTCAAAAAAGTAACGATACCAGTAACGGCGTTACAAATAACGCGTTACTTCACAACCCTGATAATTATAATGATATAATTTGTCCTCAAGTCGATAATTATAATTCGACTAGTTGATTTAATATTATCGCCGAAAGATGGCGGTAGTTGACGTTTTTGCCTCAGTGCATAATCGAGTTCTGGCGGATGACTCGCCGTTTCGAGCAATAGCGAAGCGTTGAAGGAAAATGGTAAGGCTGTCAAAAATTCGTGGTGTTTATTCCCATCTATTTCATATAATTTTAATTTTTAGAAACGTAGAGTAGTTTATTGTGTAACTGCAATAACAAAGTAATTTCTTGTGGCTATTAACAATCATGTTAACAATCATACTACTTCGAATTATCTTAGGTTAACTATCTTTCAAATATCAGCTTGTCTCCCATAAATTTCAATCGAGAACAAAGTTCCATGAGATAAGTTAGTTGAGTTTATTTATTAAATGATTATTTATCGCTGAAAAAGTTTTAATAAATAAACTTATACAAATAAACTTCTTTTGTACTTTGATAGTAAATATTATAACAGGGTCAAAATCAGTCTGGTAGTGGAGGTACTGGAGACAAAAAGGATGATAAAGATAAGAAGAAGAAATATGAACCACCCATTCCTACTCGAGTAGGTAAAAAGAAAAGACGTACTAAAGGGCCTGATGCAGCCTTAAAGTTACCTCAAGTAACACCCCATACACGATGCAGATTGAAGCTCTTAAAATTAGAGCGTATAAAAGATTATTTGTTGATGGAAGAAGAATTTATTAGAAATCAGGAACGTTTAAAACCACAAGAAGAAAAGAATGAGGAGGAAAGATCAAAAGTAGATGATCTTCGTGGGACACCAATGTCAGTTGGAACATTGGAAGAAATAATTGATGACAATCACGCAATAGTGTCCACGTCAGTCGGATCTGAGCACTATGTATCTATCTTGTCATTTGTGGATAAAGATCAATTGGAACCTGGATGTTCTGTATTGTTGAATCATAAAGTACATGCTGTTGTTGGAGTTTTAGGGGATGATACAGATCCCATGGTTACAGTGATGAAACTTGAAAAGGCTCCTCAAGAAACTTATACTGATATTGGAGGTATTTTAAATAAATTTTAAATAAATTTCAAATAAATATTTTAAATAAAAGATTTAAATAAATCATATATACTTTATTACTTTTTTTTTTTATATAGAATGTAACATAATTTCCAGTTAGAAATTTTTAAAAATAACGAATAATTTAAAAAAAATTTAAGAATCAAATCTATATAAGACTTGGTTTGAAATAAGTTTAAAGTGATCATTAAGATATCCTCGAATTTTCATTAAAGAGGAAACTGTCTCTGAAGCAAGTTATGTGTGTAATTATATATATATGTAACAATATGTATGTATATGTATATATATGTAACAATAAGTTATATATGTAACAATTTATATAATTTAGAAATATTATATTAAATATTCCCAGGTCTTGATACTCAAATTCAGGAGATTAAGGAATCTGTAGAATTACCATTAACTCATCCAGAATATTACGAAGAAATGGGTATCAAACCTCCAAAAGGTGTGATACTTTATGGTCCACCTGGAACAGGAAAGACACTGCTCGCCAAGGCTGTAGCTAATCAAACTTCAGCTACATTCTTGAGAGTTGTTGGCTCAGAACTTATACAGAAATATTTAGGTGATGGTCCAAAACTTGTAAGAGAGCTCTTTAGAGTTGCAGAGGAACATGCCCCCTCCATTGTATTTATAGATGAGATAGATGCTGTAGGAACAAAAAGATATGATAGTAACAGTGGTGGTGAAAGAGAGATTCAAAGAACCATGTTGGAATTGCTTAATCAGCTTGATGGTATATATGCACTAATCACTAAATATTAATATATAACATATTTACGAGATTTGTTTTAAACAATATTAATTCTGAGAAATTATTGCCAGGTTTTGATAGCAGAGGTGATGTGAAAGTAGTTATGGCTACAAACAGAATAGAAACTTTGGATCCTGCTTTAATCAGACCTGGGCGTATCGATAGAAAAATAGAATTCCCATTACCAGATGAAAAAACTAAAAGAAGAATCTTCAATATTCATACAAGTCGAATGACTCTGGCACCTGATGTAAATCTTGCAGAATTGATTATGGCTAAGGATGACCTTTCTGGTGCAGATATCAAGGTAATTTATTTTCATTCAAACAAATATCTTACATCTCCTGTGTAAATTATGTTTTCTACACATGCTTATATAGGGTGTCTCATTTTAAAAAACGCACCTCGATAATTCTTAAACGAAGCATTTTCAGCAAAAATGTTTAGGACAAAAGTTGTATGATTTTAAGGGGGACATAAAACAACTATGCTATTTTGTTCTTATAAAAATATCATGCATCTGTGTTGTCTTGTTTGAAATAAGCCGTTTGAAATGAATTTTGTTTCAGGCAATATGTACTGAAGCTGGTTTAATGGCTTTGCGTGAACGACGTATGAAAGTTACCAGTGATGACTTCAAGAAATCTAAAGAAAGTGTTCTTTATCGAAAGAAGGAAGGTTCTCCTGAAGGATTATATTTATAAAAAACAATTCATTATACTGGTTTCTATATAATTAAACCAGGATTATTTACACCACAATAAAAATTTCTATAGTTGTATTAATTATACAATCTATAAAAATATCATTACTCCGGAGGATTCTGTTTTGTCAACTGATTTTATTTATTTTAAGTATTAAAATATCTGTTTTCTTCAAGGATTTAGATCAACTTCAATGTTTGATTCTTTCAAAACTGGTTGAAAATGTTCATGTAGTTTATTTAATACTTCTGTAGAATGCTTTTTTTGATTCTTTAATATTTCAGAAAATGAAATGTTCTCATAGTTGTAAGTTGTATTTTCTGATTCCATCTTGCATATCCAACATATACCTCGTTTAGTTTTATCAAGAGTAGCAGCTATATCAACAGGATGTTTTATATTAGACGATAAAGCATGACTCAAACCTTTATATTTTCCTAATATAAAAGCTGTCTTAAAACCATCTTTATATCCTATGTCAAAACTTTCTTGCAGTACAGAGTCTTCCCCATCTTGCACACCTTCTCTATATCCAGTCTGAAAACATAATTGTATTGTATACATCAGATACAATTTGTTTTGTGAATATCTTGTGTTAATCGCATTACATATCAAAAATTTCAAAGTACCTTAGTAGCAATATCTACAACGCGTTTACAAGATTTCGAAGCAATATCCAGAGAATCATCATCCTGTGAGTACGAATCATTTTCCATCTTATATTGTAAAATTTCCTTCGATTGTAGTATTATGTAATATATAATATTACATATTATCTTAGATAAGTCAAGCCAAATAATCACCTATGACAAATATTAAACATTTAACATATTTTGATTATACAAGAATATATTTTTTTCTTTCAGTATGATGATTGCTGAATTACCGTGCCTTCAACTTACTCCGAAGTATATTCAGCTATATGATACAATCACAAGTGTTTAAATGCAATATAGGTTAAATGCAACATTGTATGACATTGCATGATCAATCGTGATCAGTAACATGATGAACGCAAGATACCAATTTTATCATGGTAATTATTTAGAAGTCTGACAACACCTTAGATTTCGCTCAAACTTTGCACAATTGTGTACGTAATTTGGTACGTAGAACGCGATTTTGCAAGAAAAAAGTTGCTCTCAAACGGATCAAGTTATAAAAATCTGAAAAATAACACGCGTAGAGTTAGGAAATCTGTCATGCCGATAATACAGACTAACTGAGAAGCATGCGCAATGCATTAAAGTGTAAGAGGGTACATATAAGTGGGGGAGGAGTTCCGCCCCTTCCCACACCCCCTACCCAATGAAATCCTAACCTAACCAAACTTATTGCATCTTTATTACTGTTGAACACGGGTTTTAAAAATTATAATCTTTTCAACAATATGTAACAATATGTACTATCTTACACTTTCCGACTAAAAAGAACAGACCATAAGTCTCTGTATTACCGGCATGACAGATTTTTACTTCGCGTGTCATTTTTTATTACTTCATAACTTTTGATCCGTTTGAGAACGACACCTTTTTCTTTCAAAATCGTGTTCTAAGCACCAAAATACACAACTATGCAAAGTTTGAGCAAAATCCAAGGTATTGCCAGACTTCTAAATAATTATTAATTCAATAAAAAAATATCCAGAAGATATACAATGTTATATATTATGTATTTTGTGATTATGTATATAAACATACGTGCAACATTAATGCATAGTATGTATAAATTAACTACATATTAACATAAAAATTTATTGTATATAGGAATGAATTGTAATGTTTATAACACTCCTTTCAGTGATGACGGCCACCAGGAAGGCTTTTTACCATCTAACTGATCATTCTTCAATTTGTTCATAAGAATACTGGTTATAATTCTGTCAACATCATGCGTTTGTCCATAATAATCAACAAATAAGCCTTCTGGATCAACCAAGTATATGATAATTGTATGATCCACCTAAAAGAAAGAACAAGCAATGATGCAAAGTCTGGCAAATAATAATTATAGATTATATTTCAGGAAATACTAACGATATAGTCATCATCTTGATCCTTAGGGCCACTGCTAAAATAAACTCGGTATGCTTTGCATACTTTTGCAACTTGGTCTATGCTACCTGTGAGACCAATAATTTTATCAGAGAATTCTTTAAGATATTTGTCTACAACAGCAGGTGTATCTCTATCTGGATCTACTGATATGAAAATTGGTTGTATCTTGAAGTTGTATTCCTTTTCTGTGAACATAGAATTGCAATCATAAGAATAAATATTTTTTGATTGACATAATTTAAATCTGTTACTTACCAAGCTTATTTACCACATTTGTCATTTTTTCAATTTCGTCTGGACAAATATCTGGACAATGAGTAAATCCAAAATATATCAATATCCACTGTCCTAAAAAATCATCGGATTTTACTGTTCTCCCCTGTGTATCAATCAGCTCAAAACTACCACCAATTTTAGCTTTCCCCAAATGTCGTTTCCTTTCCCGTGCTAGAGCCAAATCTTTTTCCTTTCTCAAGTAATACATATATAACAAAAAACCAGTGCCAATGAGACTTGAAATTGTCAAGCTTTTCCATGTTATTGGTGACTTCTTTTTTATTTTCTTAGGATTCTTAAAAGGTAGAGTAGACTGTTGATACAAAGTTTTTGATGTACTCATGAATCTAAACTGAAAATAAAAAGAAAATTATTAAGATGTACGAAAAATTGTATTGTAAGTTCTACACCAAAATAAATGTAAAACTTACAAACAGAAGTAAAATATTTTGTCATTTTGTCTTGATCATAAAAATAGGTAGATGTTGTCGTAGTTACCTTTATAAGTACATTATTAGTAGTTCTATTTAACGACACCAAAGATCTTAATATTAAATTCGACATTATGTTTCGATATAAATTCTTAAACTATCCAACATTAGGCAACGACAAACAGGTTATGTGTCGATCTAATCTTTGATATAAGGCGCGAAAATTTGAAACATATTTTACTTTACGCAACAGATGTCTCTGCTTTTATTTCACTACCAGTTAACCTGAAAATGACTATGCTATTAGAATTTCTTAGATGATTTATTTTTTTTTTGTGGATTATAGAATCATAAATATTTTGTAAAATAGTTGAACTTTTGAAATAATTTATTTTATGGTGTTACATAGATATGTACCATATAATTAAAAAAACGAAAATAATTTACATTTCTTATATCTCAGAGAAAATAAACACATATTATTAAATATATATTACAAATATTGTTTCATTAAATCGTTAGAATAACAAGATAAAAACTTCAATATAAATTTTATAGTAAATTTTCTAGTTACTTATTACTTGCATACATACAATATCATTTTGCGATACATTTGTTCATTTTGGCTCATATTTGAACCATATATATTTAATAATATATAGTTATTACATTTTAAATTATATTTGTCACAGGATAGTCACATACAGCTTTTTTCAATCTAGATTCATTATTTCATGATTTATTAGAATCAAAGCAATCAAGGATCAAAATTTTAAGATATATAATGCAAAAAGAAAATATGTTACTACAAAACTGAACTGTAAACATGGAAAAATTGACCAAATCAATAAATATGAAAGTTTTATACAAAATGTGTCACTTCAGATATTTATTTTAAATAATAGTCAAAACAGAATAAAGGAAGAATTAAGCTTGTAGTATTAAGTTGTTTAATATAAAACTGTGAAAACATTCAACCAGATGTTTCTTTGTTTTGCCTTTGTTGGATCATTTCTCTTATGTCATCTTCGCTCTCTTTCAAGCTTCTTTGTAAATATGTTTTATTATTATCTAACGTCTTGATCTTCTCATCTGATGTTTTCATTCTATTGTCCAACATATTCTTGATATTGCTAATGTCATCTAGAAGAAACATCCGACCAACAGATTCATATATCCTTGTATTTCCAGGAAGGCAGCTTATTTCTTTCATGGTGAGTTCCGCCCGTTGTTTTGTTCGTCGCAACTTGTCAATTTGCATATCAGCTAATTTTAGTTTCTGCGAGGTATCTACCATTTTTTCCTGTAGCTTTGAAAAAGCTTGCTTCAGTTCCTGATCTGGCACCCTTGCCATCTTTGATTCTTATATTATTTCCTGTGAATAATTATGAAACAATGTTAATATTGCACTCTTTTAATGTTCTAATTTCATAATATTGATATTACAAAAGAAATATTGCATTCATATAAAAAAAATCATTTGAATAGATTAATAGATTTGAATAGATTATCGATAAATTTATATTTTAGACATTTGTCTGTTAATAACAATAAATTACTTAAATATATAGTTCACAATAAATAATAAATTTCGCTATGTATATTTCTTACTTTAACTTCTTTCTGTTTCAATACCTTACAAGTCAGAGATATAGTACTTTACGCCAATCCTAACCATAAACGTCAATTATATCAGAGAGAAGAATGAGAGCGGCCACCGGCCGTATTTCGGGGGATACGGCTAAGCGCATTTAGATACGCCATCTGACCAAAATACGTCTAAACTACGTCCGCTAGGCGCGGTGATAAAAGTAAAATGGTCCTAGGTTCGTGTCCGTACTACTTCCATGCAATGGATAGTAGATTAGAAAAAGACAGACGACAGACAATCGTTCCGTCTTTGTCTCACTACTGAGCGGCGCGCGGCAGTAAACGCGAGGCAAGGTAGCGGCGATCTTATCGCTAAGCGAACATCTCTCCGCTTTTCTTTCATCTTTCACGCTCCAGAGACATCAAAAAACGCGGTAGCGTCTCGTGTCAAGGGAACGTGCGAAGCGAGGAATTATTTTTCACGCACGCGAGATAGCACATGGGAGACTAGACGAGCGTCGACATATTCTCCCTTTCTTTCCCGCTCATCTAGCTTATTCACTGCGTGAGCCGCGAGATTTTTCTCGCTACTCCTATACCTCGCTCTTTCTCTCTCTCGCTCGTTCTCTCTCTCTCTCTCTCGCGCACTTGCTCGCTCTTCCTCTCTTCTCGTGTTCTTACGGCTTGATTAAATATATTAATTACATGACAATATATATATAAATAAATGACACATATATAGTGTATATGTATATAAAGAATATTTAGTATTAATGCACAAATAAAGAAGAGAGAATTATAATGAGAGACGAAAAGTTAATAGAAATCCACTCTTAGCCAATATATACATCTTTTAAAAATGATTTGTTATTAAAGTATATGGCAGAATAATTTATTTATGCTAATAAATTTAAATTAAAAATTAAATGAAATGTTATTTGTTATTATAACATTGTTGTTATTGTTATTGTTGTTATTGTTATTATAACATTTCATTTAATTTTTAATTTAAATTTATTAGCATAAATAAATTATTCTGTCATATACTTTAATAACAAATCATTTTTAAAAGATGTATATGTTGGCTAAGAGTGGATTTCTATTAACTTTTCGTCTCTCATTATATTTCTTTCTTCTTTATTTGTGCATTAATACTAAATATTCTTTATATACATATACACTATATATGTGTCATTTATTTATATATATATTGTCATGTAATTAATATATTTAATCAAGCCGTAAGAACACGAGAAGAGAGGAAGAGCGAGCAAGTGCGCGAGAGAGAGAAAGAACGAGCGAGAGAGAGAAAGAGCGAGGTATAGGAGTAGCGAGAAAAATCTCGCGGCTCACGCAGTCAATAAGCTAGACGAGCGGGAAAGAAAGGGAAGAATATGTCGACGCTCGTCTAGTCTCCCATGTGCTATCTCGCGTGCGTGAAAAATAATTCCTCGCTTCGCACGTTCCCTTGACACGAGACGCTACCGCGTTTTTTGATGTCTCTGGAGCGTGAAAGATGAAAGAAAAGCGGAGAGATGTTCGCTTAGCGATAAGATCGCCGCTACCTTGCCTCGCGTTTACTGCCGCGCGCCGCTCAGTAGTGAGACAAAGACGGAACGATTGTCTGTCGTCTGTCTTTTTCTAATCTACTATCCATTGCATGGAAGTAGTACGGACACGAACCTAGGCGCATTTTACTTTTATCACCGCGAAAGTGCGCCTAGCGGACGTAGTTTAGGCGCATTTTGGTCAGATGGCGTATCTAAAATGCGTCTAGCCGTATCCCCGAAATACGGCCGGTGACCGCTCTCATTCTTCTCTCTGCTATTAGTCATAACATATAAGAAAATAAACCGATCAAAATCCTCCAATCTATAAATGAAGAATTCCGATTGGTTTATTTTCTTATGTTTTATAATTAATGGCTTATTGTAGAATGGCCATTAAGTTTAAGCTTAGATTCCATGACCGTGTTCCAAAATTCACTGCCAGCACTGAAAATATATAGTTTGTGTCACACAAACTATAATTTTTCAGCGCTGACAGTGAATTTTGGAACACGGCCCATGTATGCGATAGAGCTGATCTAAGTTATAGAGCAAGAGCAGATGTTTTTGCATAACACATAATACATAACACATAAGAGAATAAACCAATTAGTTTTCTTCATTTCCCTCCTCAGGACAGAAATGAAGAACTCTGATTGGTTGATTCTCTTATGCGTTGTGTATTATGCGTTATGCAGAAGTCTGTGCTCTGGCCCTTACTGAACAATGGCGTTGGAGAATTCGCCTTAAAAAGCACCTGGAGCCAATATTGAGAGAGAGAGAGAGAGAGAGAGAGAGGGAGAGAGAGAGAGAGAGAGAAGAGAGAAAGAGAAAGAGAGAAAGAGTGTTAACCTCAAAATTGTCCAGAACTGTAAACATTGAGGAAAAGTTGTTGACAGGTTGACAGATAAAAGTCAAACTGAAGGAGAGGAGAAAGGGAAGAAATAAAAGGTTTGAACAGTTTTAGAGACATTCAGATAATTGAAGGCTGATAGAGCAAGGCCGCACCATGAATCAGATAAAGCATGAAAACCTGCCGAACATACCAATTATTTCTGCTCAAGTGGATACTTCAGCAGCCATAAAATTAAGCTCAGGCGCAAAAATGATTCTTGAAAGATCACTAATGGCTCGCGCGGATATATGGCACAAGGTAAGAGTTATCAAAGGTGGACATTACTCCAAGGAAATTGTTTTGAAGGCTATTCTGAAAACTGTAGATCCGGCAGACTTAATACCGGTGAAATATCAGGTTTGCGGGGAGGACGCGTTCTTTATAGCGAGAAATTGCGGTCCTGCCCTCGAGAAGCTATGCATGGCAAGCTTGATTATCAAGAATATCAATGGTGATGCTTTGATCCTCATGATCACCTTGGGATTTGCTTCCATACGTGATCTCAAAGTTAACATCCAACCCCTCTTATTGACCGCTCTGACCAAAAGATACAATCCCAATGAAAAGACATTGAATTTGGAAAACTTTCACACGGATCCGGATGTATCCAAGACTGTATACTGTCCCTTGTCCCAAGTCAGAACTTCCAATCATGTTCTAAAGCTGGCGAAAACTGCTATAGCCACCTTTGAGTACTTGAATTTACAGCATAATGATCTGTTCAACATATCAGCTATTGAGAACTCAAATTTAACAGCCATCAAGTATCTAGATCTGAGACACAATAATTTGTTGAACATGTGCGTGTTGACACCTCTGAAGAATTTGACTGTCATAAAACTTTGGCTGGACGGGAATCCCCTCTGTGAGAATTACTCAACCGTGAGGCAATATGTGGATTCTGCCAAGAAGTATTGCCCACACTTGCAGGAACTCGACGGGGTATGTATCTCGTCGAAGATGCCCTTCATGTACAAAGACCACTTCAGGGACGACAAAGTACAGCATCTGGTGCACAAATTCACGACACACTTCTTCAACCTGTACGATCAAGTCGATAGATCTCTCCTGAAGGGACTCTACCACAAGAATGCGGTCTACTCTATGAGCTTCAGCGTCCCCAACACCATTGCTGGCAAGACAAACCTTCAGCAGTACACAGCGCTGAGTAGAAATCTACTGAGAAAGACACGGAAGAAAATTACGACCTTCTATGAAGGTGAGGAGCAGATTCTGGAGGGTCATGCCAAGTTACCCAGAAGCTATCACGACAGGAGCTCCTTCAAGTATGACGTTCTCTACGATGATGGGAAATGCTTGGTGATATGCGTCTCGGGACTACTCAAGAAGCTGAGTTTAGGCCTCAACGTACTCTCGTTCAACAGAACGTTCATATTGTCGGTCACCGACGACAACGAGTATCACATCTTGAACGATCAGTACCACCTCGACGCTGCGCCCGAGAATATCACACACGACAAAATAACGGCTAAGACCACGTTCGACGAAACGTCGGTCTGCTTCAGCCCGAGCGAAAAGTCGGTGTTGATAGTGCGATTTGGACAGATCACCACGCTGAACAAGGAGTGGTGCGAGATGTACTTGTCGGAGGCCAAGTGGGACATGAGGCAGGCTTTGTCCAACTTCATGAAGGATTACAAGTCGCTATCGGTACCGGAGAACGCGTTCTACAAGTAGAGCGTGTGCGGTAACGACACGCATTATAGCGTCTTGATCTCTTCTTGTAAATATCGTGCAAATAGTAGAAGTAGGAATCGACTTGGCGACATCGAACTCGAGTTACCTTCCCTCGAACGTTTTTTAGACAGACTCGTCTCCCGTGAGCGGCCACTTCTGGGCTTTAATCTCGTGCGACTTCAATCTCGAGACCGGAGCGTCGTTTGCCACAGACGGAACACCCTGTGCAACTTCGTGTACATGTTTCCTGGACGCTTTGTAATAAGCAGAGATGTAAATAAATATGTCGGTGCGTATATCACACTTGTATCGAGAAATCTCGATCTTTGATTTTTATAGACGCACGAGGAAGAGAACGATTCTGTTGGTGTAATTGAGACGGTTACAGTCCCCTCCCATTGCGCGCGGGGGAAATGTCGAAGATGAAGAATTCGGTTAGGCGAACAGGAGGGTTTCTGTAGGAGGTTCCTAGTCAGTCGGTTATCGACGATCGATTAAAATCTTAATTAGCTAAAATAATCAGCGAATCGATGGTGAGGAGTAATCAATCGTCGAATATATAATTATGAATAATTTTATCGCCTGATGAAATTAATTACCTGTGGATCAGTGTGGAATCAATCAAATGAAAGTAATCGATTGAAGTGATCTTTACATGTAATCACGATTTCATACCGCTTCTCTCGTCATCGAATTTTCATCTGCTGTCCAATCAGTCACACAAACTGGAATCTTTCTTCCCTGTGCGGATCCGCCTCGCGATTTCAACGACGCGCTTGAACATCGCGACAGTCATCGGTCACCGGCGCTGTCACATCAATTCGTCTCGCTAAGTTACGTATAAAGTGTGTGAAGTACATTTAAAAATATCGTACACAAGTCACACAAGAGTGACGACGAACGAGGCGAAGAGGAAGATTCGGACTATGATTATTATTCGCAGTAGTCTCCTCGTGCAAGCGGTAAAAATCAACGCGATCGCGAGGCTTAGAAGTGACGCGCGCGAGTGTCGGATGACACAAAAATTTCAGGGACGTTCGCTTCCTTCGTGACATCAGCCGTATTAATTGACGACGGCGACCGCGGTGCTGTAAATTGCTGTAAATTTTTCATAACGCGATATTTGCGTCGGGATGTGCGCTCCGCGATGCTATCGTACGTCAATGAGTGAATATAAGGCGATATTACTCGCATGGCATTTAAGCGGTCTCTCCGGGACGCTCGGTGACTTCATCCAAAGGTTATGCACCCAAGGACCGCAATCGCCGTCGCGCGTACGATGTGAATGAAACGAATTCGCGAAGGCAGGCGGCTTTTTTTTTCTATCGTTATTCTTGCCCTTTCCAAGCGTACGCGCGAGAGCGGGATGAAACGAGACCTTCGGGACGCTTCACGCCGCGCTCGACTGAGCAAATCACGATGCTCGAGAAGGCGGATCTCTGTTGCCGCGTCCCCGTCGACCCTTCGCGCTCCGTAATTATCTTCGCCGACTTTTTTCTCCCGGCCGATCCGCAAAAATTCGATCACCTTTCCCGATGTGGCGCGCGCTTCGTGCTTAGCCCGTTTTATCTCGCCGTCTGAACGACGCGACGCGACGACACATTTTGCAACAATGCATTTACACCGAGGGAACAAATTGTTAATGTCAATGAAAGTATCAGAGGCGAAGAAGAGAAAGTGAGAGCGATTATTACTCGCCTTTGGTACTTTCCTTTTGATTGTCCGTGCCTCGGGAATTTCTTTACTTCATTCATTTTATTTATCTCATTTTGTCTCACTTTATTTTATTCCTCATTTATTTTACTTTGTTTTATTTATTTTATTTTATTATTTCACCTCGTGTTTGTTTCACTGCGAGTTACAGCCATCACCGGCGTGAATCATCTTCTTTCTGACAAAATATAAGTAGCAATGTGCATGTAGAGCCATTGTCAGTAACATCGTAGTAGCGTCTACCGCGTTCATCATTATAAGCTCTCCGACATAATGATTGCAATATGCAATTATAGTCACAGTCACTAAACACCTTTTTCCCCGGTGTACCATTAATGTGTAAATGATCGTTTTGCCGGATCGAGCGGAATGAAAGGCGCGATGTCGAGGTAGACTCGACGAGGAACGCGAGTGGTCGATAATTTCCACCGTTTGGTGATCCAGGAAGCACGACAGCAACAACATCTGAAATATGAAAGCATCATAATCTCGGTCGCGATTTTTAACGGACACACGGACGCGAAACAAGTCACACCTCCGAGCGTAACACTCGCGAGTGCTCGCGAAATTGCGTCATCGTCGCGGGGGGGGGGGACGCACGACGGGTAAATAAACAATTATGATATAGTTGACGATGCCTCCGATCGTATCTCCCCCGCGGCGCTTCCCATCGCGCCAACATTCGTCACACTTCCGGATTGTCAAGGCCCAGGAACATGCACTCGCGTGCGTGCGAATGAAAAAAAAAAAGGGAGACACTTAACAATAATAACCCGGTTGCGCGATTGTTGTGCGCGTCGATCGTCCGAGCCGATGGTTCTCAACGTGCGTTGAGACCGTAGACTGTCGCGACAGCTTCTTCAGCAACGGAAAGAGCGCGGGAGAGACGAGCCGTTAATGTTGCAAGAAGCGTGCTCGTTATCGAGTCGAGAGGAGAATTTACGGAGCCTCGACGCCAATTTTCACGAGGACGAACGAGCGAACGAGCGAACGTCTCCCGGTGCTGCTTCGTTCTTCTTCTTCAAACCTCCAGCGAGGCTCCTCTGTTTTCTCCTGTCAACCAGCTGAATCGGTAACATCGACGACCTTCTTCACGGGTCGTCACGTCGGCCGATGACGAGATTTTTGCGGCGGCCTAACATTTTCGAAAAGGCCATCCGAGGAGATGCTCTTTCAAACGACGATGTCTGCGAGCTGAAGGATCGGCGAGCTCGAGAAGGGCCTACCAGCGACGAAAGGTTGAGCAACGTTGGGCGGGGCGGTTACTGAGAATTACGGGAGCCGAGGGATACGTGTGTATAGGTAGCGACATAATAAAATGATTGTTGCCTACTGTGAGACTCTCGGCGGCCTCCCACGCGTCGGGGATCCGAGAGCTCGGCGTGTTCGTCAAAATAGGAAACCGCGCGCTTCTTCCAGAAGCAATTACCCCTCGCACCAATTAGGAGCTTCCTTCGATAGTTCGGCGTTTCCCGCGTCCCGGAAGCCGGGGATATCGACGCCGTCCGCTGCACTTTTCAGCCGCGCCCGCCCGCGCGCGATAAATGGCGGCTGCTGATCGCGTAATCCGCCGCCTGAGAGGAGAAAAAGGAGTCGAGATTTTTCCGCCACTTCACGGGCGCCGATTTCGCGATGCTCGCGAAATTAACGCCTGCTTTGACGCTTTCTTCAGACGCTTCTCGCTTAACGCTTTGCGTGAGCACTTTGATTGTGTTTAAAAATTCGAAAACTTTATTTATATAAACTTAAAGGAAATACCTTTAAAATTGTGTGAAAGTGACGACGGTGTGTGACGCTGATAACCTATCAAATGTCAGCGATCGGATAACAGTGATGAAGAATGAGATTATAGTGGGAACGAGATTACAGTCAGAATGATGGCAAATCTACTACTGAAATAATTACGCCTTTTTACTTACCAAATACTAATAATGTCTGAATTTGCAACAACACGTCAACAGCAATTCAACCTTCAATTTGTAACAAAGCTTACGAAAAGTGCCGCCGGCCAGCGGCCGGTAGTTTTCGTCATCATGTGCCGGCGCGGCGGCAAGAGCAGACTTTTTTGTGAAAAGAGCGGCCGTCAAAGTGTTAAGCTGAGAAATATAATGCGCTATAAATTATAGTCGATCTCTGGCACTTTTATGGTTGTTCTAAGCATGCGATTTATCGACGGAATTCTGTAGAAGCTTGATTCCCCGCTGCGCATCAAAACTATCGCGATTTCCTGCGGTCTCTGAACGTCGGCGCGTTAAGATCGACGGTAGAAGCAAAATTCCGACTCGGCGAAACGGAAGACACGAACACACACAGAGAGAGAGAGAGAGAGAGAGAGAGAGAGAGAGAGAGAGAGAGGGAGGGAGAGAGGATATTAGTGATACTTTTCTATTCGCCGTTAACGCGACGTCCGATCAAAAGGCTCTTTCACGAGCAGCGAATGCGTCGGACGTGTCAAAATGTGGGTCAGGGTACCCGTCGGGCGAAAGAGGAACAATGATGATGAAGAAGATGGCCCATTGAGACATCCCCGCGCCGCCGGGGCCCTCATCAGAGGCACACCGTACGTACCGGCGCGATGTAACGTATTCAAAGATGACCGTAGCCGATAACCCGTTAGAGAAAGTCATATCATCGCGGACGTACTATGCAAATTTCGTCGTCGTCGTCGCTTCCCCCTTCCTCCTCCTGCGAAGTCGAAGAGGAGGAGGGCATCGGGCGAAAATGGAGAGGCAACGAGAGTCACGCTCGCGATCTTCGCGCGCGCGCGCGATTATTATGCGACTCTAATTGAGAACGACGGATGAGTCCTGCAGAAGCAGGGAATTTTTATTTTATGGCGGAGCTGAATCGGGGGGGGGGGAAGGGGGGAGGGAGCGCGAACGCGTATCATGCGTGATTCGTTACGTTAAGAGCGAGAAACGCACTCGGTTAAGTAACGCAATATCCAACGACGACGGCGCCGTTCGTCCGCTCGATGCTAATGAGCGAGGAAAAGCGTGTAAACGCGCGCGGTTTCACGCGAGGTGATCCAACGAAGGAAATCGAACGCATAACCGGAGCTTCCGATCCTGTCGACGAGGCGATAACATGCATGCGTATACGCGTGTGTGTGTGTATATGCGAAGCGCGATCGCTTAATTGCTCGATCAAGCAGATCGCTTTCTCTCTTTCCCTCTTTCTTCCTCTTAGCGTGATCTTCCTCCGATCGTAATCGATTCTTCCGCTTGATTCTTCGCGCGAGATGAATCTCCCAGTTTCAATCATCGATCTTTCAGCCTCCGACAATCGGCTTTTGTGTCTGTCTATGTGTGTATGTGTATGTGTGTGTGTGATTGATTGTTAATCATGGGAGCCCCCGTTCATTGAATTCATGATTCTTCCGAGCTAACGAGTTGCGAGTGATTCCTCCTGCGGGAGGATAACGGTGTCGACGAGGTTTCGACAAAGAATTACTCAGAGTTGAGAAGTAACTCGTTATTTGTAACGAAGTTACAATTACAGTTATTTCTTTTTTTTTGGTGAGTGTAACTTGACTTCGTCTCGTTTTTCTCCATCTATAACTGTAACCTAACTTGGTTGCATTTGTTTGATAACCAGT